ACATTTGACAGACCACTGGTCTGTGTGCATTTAGACTTCCTATTGGTTGAAAGGCGATCTCTTTCAACCAATTAGCTTAGCAGGATTCTGCCAACCTTGCCGTAGTGTTTTTTTTTTCATCTTGTTAAAGTATTTTCAATATTGTCAAAGTACTTACATCTTGTCTTACTTACTTTTGTCATGGAGAGGAAACCTTTAGACAGGAATAAATTGGCAGCTCCAAAAACTATGACTACTGAGGGGATCGTGTGTAGTGCTATCATGTTGTGTTACCGACACTGCGATGCTACTTCAAGATTATCTGCTGTATGTTGTGACTTGCAACACCGCTCTGCTAGTACTAGGAAGCTCTGTAGCAGTCTGCTACAGAGCTTCCGTGATGCAAAATCCGTTTCAATTCTAGCAGGGAAGGCGTATAGTCTTACAAAATACAGACGCGCGCACAATTTCGTGTTATCCCCAGTCAAAATTAACATTTCAGTGTTGTCAAAAGATGGGATTTTATGCCTTGTCGAGAATCTCGATACTCAGAGGATCATGATGGAGCTCGAAGAAGAGAACTGTATTTGGCTCACCTACAGAAAGCAAGTGAAGTAAAGTATTGACGACTTCCACAGTTCAAGGAAGGTATACCTGCTAAAATACCATTTGCTCTCCGATCCCAAGAATGGGCAATATAACACATAGCGTGCAATATTGAACCAACACGATTCACAATCTACACTCTATCTCACGTGCTTGGTCTCCGTACCTGTACAGTAACGGAGGCCGTTGCCTTCGCGGCACCGCCACGCTTTTCCCTCCACGGCGTGGAGTCTACGCAGCAACGGACCTTTTCATTTTCGCTTTTGCGATCCCAAGCTATCTCCAGTTGCTAGCCAAGAACGCCGATTAATCCCTCCGAACGGTGAAACGCCACGATGAAGCCAACTGGACTCGGTTCACTTGCCCTGGTGGCGACTGCTGCTACGCTCTTCGCCACGGCGGATGCTCATGGCAAAATGACTGTGCCCACCTACCGGCAGATGTCGGAGAAGTTTCACAAGGACTCGGGAGCTCTGGTCAACATCGGTCTAGAAGAGATGCAGATCGGCCCCATCGAGCTCCTCTCGCAGCACAAGCAAGTCGACTTCCCACCGTCTCCTACGTTCAACCTATTGAACGGATGCCGTGGCACTGTGTACGAGGAGGCTAATGAAGTCACTACCATCCAGCCCGGTTCTGAGTTTGATGTCAAGTGGAAAATTGATGCCCCGCACCCTGGCTACATGAAACTCAGCATTCTTAAGCCGAGCGAGGACTCGAAGGGTGTGATCACCTACAAGAGCTACAAGACTTTGCTTAACATTGAGCCTTTTGCTGAAAACGGCGGTGAAGGTGGCACCACTGCCAAGATGCCCGCCGATGTTGAGGGATGTGACAAGCCAGGAGACTGCGTCCTGCAGTTCTTCTGGTACTCTGCCATCGCGAAGCAGACGTACCCGACCTGTGCTGACATCGTTGTATCTGGCAGTGGTGGCGGCACTTCTACCTCTACGACTACGGAGTCGTCGGAAGCTGGTAGCCCAACTGCAAGCAGCGATGAGTCTACTCCTTCCACCCCATCCACTCCTTCCAGCCCGTCGACCAACTCGACTCCATCGACTAACTCGTCCCCCTCAACGAATTCATCCCCGTCGACGAATGCGTCCCCCTCTACGAACTCTTCTCCTTCGACGAACAATTCCCCGTCGACCAACTTCTCCCCTTCGACAACTACAACCACGACGGCTCCTAGCACCTCCACCACTGATGCTTCCGTCGCTGGTGAAGCGGATACCAACAAGTGTGCTCGACGCATGCGTCGTCACTAGGTTCGACCCAGTCTGTGAGTAGTTTGTATGCCGTATTTTGTGTAACTGGTGGCAAACGTATCCGTAATTTACCTTGATTTTGCCGTCCAAATGATGCCTTGCTTGTCAACGGACTACACGTAAAGTAGCTGCTGTATCTTGCGTTCTACATACAGGCGGTTGGCAGGAACTTGCGTGGGTGTCGGATAAAGGGTCAGCAAACGTTTTTCACGCACAGAGTGCAGGCAGTCTGTTATCTCGCTAGTGTTCGGGGCTAAATTAATACTTTAGTATATGTTACATGTCAGCAGGCTCACTGTGTACGTGCTCAAAGTCACGACAATTCTTCCTCCAGACGGAAGCGAGGATAGCGACAACATTGCTGTGTGGGGTGACTCGAGCATGGAGCGATCGCAGCACCCACCAGAAGGCAAAGTGGGGAGCCCAGCGCGTGTCGAATTCAGAGATGACGGCACAGATCCCCATAAACAGATGGACAAATCCGTCATGCAAAATAGGGACAAGAATTGAAATCTCGATTGACATAATAATATTAGTTATGAAAGGTATATTATTTCAATTTATTTTGATCAGTTTCTTTGTAAACCACTTCTAATTTCAAATACATAAAACCTGCCGACTAATTATGATATGGAGGTTTCCATCCGGCCAAGGTACAGTAATCTAGACTCGATCGCAATCTGCCAATCTGCCCCCATCTCAGCGGCCTATTATAGTATAATAGTATAATTTGTATGGCCCCATGCCCTCTTCACCGTCACGCTTTTCCATCTTCATGAAATGCTGCCTTGACGTCTTGGTCCTTGCTCAGCAGCTATCACTCGATATCCCCGTTCACTTTCACTTTCGCATTCCGCTCATTATTTGCTTCTCCGATTAAACCCGAACAGTGAAACGGCATTATGCAGCCCACTGGAATCGTCTCGCTTGCCATGGTGGCCACCGCTGCCGTTCTCTTCACCACGGCCGATGCCCACGGCCAGATGCTTGTGCCGGACTACCGTCAAATCTCCGCGAAGTTCCGCAAGGATTCAGGTGCCCTCTCTCAGGCAGGAGATCAGGAGCTGCAATACGCGCCCGTCGAGAACCTGTCCGGCCGCTCGCAAAAGGATTTTCCAGAGGCTGCGACGTTCAACCTCATGAACGGATGTCGTGGCACGGTGTACGAGGAAGGCAACAACGTCACCACGTTGAAAGCAGGTGCAGCTTTCGATGTCAAGTGGATCATCCAGGCGCCCCATCCGGGCACCATGAAGTTGAGTATTGTGAAGCCCAGCGAAGACTCCACGGGCAAGATCACATACAAGAACTACAAGACCATTCTGACGGTCGATCCGTTCGCTCAGAATGGCGGTGAGGATGGAACCACCGCCACAATGCCCACTGATGTGACTGGATGCGACAGTGCCGGTGACTGTGCCCTACAGTTCTACTGGCACTCGGATATCGCCAACCAGACGTACCCGACGTGCGCCGATATCATTGTATCTGGTAGTGGCGCTGGTACTTCGACCAATACCAAGGTGACCACCGCTCCGACGGCATCGTCATTGGAGACCTCAGATGCTGGCAGTAGTGCACAGACTACCCCTTCGTCGAACACAACGCCTTCAACGGAGGAATCAGCCGATGGGAGCAGCGCTCAGACGACACCCACTGCGCCTTCGTCGAATACCACTCCATCGACAAACACGACCCCAACGCCTGCCACAGAGGCCCCTGAGGCGACTACGGCTCCTAGCACCCCCACCACCGAGTCATCCGTTGCTGGCGAGTCGGATACCAACAAATGCTCACGCCGCATGCGTCGACACTAGATTTACATGTAGAATCGCTTGGACGAAGCAGTCCGCGAAGTTTTAGATGTTTCGTTGCGTGCAGTTGACGGTAAAAATACATGTAGATCCTTCCTAACAGCGACCTCTGCGTTTGTCGTCGTGTGACACCTTTGCTAAAACTACCGATCAGAAGAGCAGACCAGGCTTGGTGGTGGCTATAATAGCTTGCAGTGAGTCTTTTCCTTAAGTCTGGAGTATACGTGTCGGCGCCTTTACCGTCCTGTAATGCTGATCGAGTTTGCGATTGCATCGTGTCATACAACTTGATTCATATGGTTTGTGAGAACTTGGGTAAGGTGGGATCAGATGTTTCAAGGTAGCGAACACTAAAGCAGCCATCTTCGCGGTGATCGAACAATTTGCGCAGCATCGCAGCAAACAGGTTTAGTTGCTGTCGTGGAGTAGAAGGAAGGTGTCAACTACATCTACCTGAGCTCGCTGAAACGGCGGTGCAGCATCCAGCAATGGTGTTGCGTTGAACAACTCAGATTCAGTTAGCAGTAGCTGGCATTTACGTATTCTATCACATAAGAGCAGCGTTAGAGATCTGCTCGGTTATCTGATCCCTAACAGCAGCTGTATCCTACGCATCCGTGTACTAGTATAACCACCTATGTTTTATGCGTGCCCAGACGGATTGCGAGCCTCCCAATGCGAGGACAGCGTCTTGAGTTTCACCCCGTCATCGGCTCCACTCGTTGACCATCTTGCTGTTCGATACCTCTCGTTTCATTCCTCATTTCGCCTCCAGCCAAGCTCTTCGAACAGCAAAGGATGTCAACTACCATCGTCTCCCTTGCGGCCACGGCCGCTCTCCTGTTCGCGGGAGTCGAGGGCCACGGCCAAATGACTTTCCCGACGAACAGGCAGATGTCGGAGAAGTTTCACAAGGACTCGGGCGCTCTGATCAACATTGGCCTTAACGAGCTCCAGATCGCCCCTATCGAGGGCCTTTCGCAGCACAAACAGGTTGACTTCCCGCCATCACCGACCTTCAACCTTTTGAACGGATGCCGCGGAACTGTGTACGAGAAGGGCAGCAACGTCACCACTCTCCCGCCCGGAGAGGATTTCGATGTCAAGTGGACTATTCAGGCGCCTCACCCGGGCTTTATGAAGCTCAGCATCCTCAAACCGAGCAAGGACTCGAAGGGCGTCATCACTTACAAAAGTTACAAGACGCTGCTGAACATTGAGCCGTTTGCTGAGAACGGTGGCGATGGCAGCACCACTGCAAAGATGCCTGCTGACGTTAAGGGTTGCGAGAAGCCCGGTAACTGCGTTCTGCAGTTCTACTGGCACTCCGACATCGCGAAACAGACGTACCCGACGTGTGCAGACATTATCGTTCCGGGAAGCGGCGCTGGCACTTCGACTACGCCGTCTGCGCCGGCCGCAGAGACTCCTGAGGCTCCTACGCCTGCCACGCCTGCCCCCAAGCCTACGACTCCTAAGCCGACGACCGCTGCTCCTAAGGCCGCTACTCCTGCACCTGCTCCTGTCACGGAAGCCCCGGCGTCTGCTGCTACTAAGGGCAAGAGCCAGGAGGTTGCTGGCGAGGCTCAGAGCAGCAAGTGCTCCCGTCGCATGCGACGCAATTAGAGAGCTCTGTCTATAAACTATACATGTTAAAAATGTCGTTGGAAGTAGTAACTCTAGCCGTTCAATGCGAATATAGATCTTTCGTTCACCAAAAACTGAAGCTGACTCGGTAGTCGCCCCCATTTTCATTGCAAAGTCCCATGCCACGTCACACGATTCCGACTTTAGCGTCCAATAGGGAGCACTACTGTCTGTAACGACCCACACGCCATAAGCTGAGATGCCTTACCACTTCGATTTACTAACCTTACTGTGAGTATTTCTGGCACTGAGGTTTGTGTTCAAATGCCAATTTTCAAGTGAAGAGACGTTGATAGTGGCGTTGAAGCGCATGCGAAGCTGTGGAAGTCAAGTTTAGTCTGATCGCAGAGTTGCGAGAGACTTTGATGCCGTGCATTGATGGCTGGAGCCCTGTTCCGTTTCGAACTCGGACTTCGAGAAGCACCAATGTTTCCCGGTACTGGTGATCTCATTCTCTCTTTTTGCCTGTACTGCCGACCTCAACGACATCGACGTCGTCCACTTCACCAGTTGGAAGATGAAGCTCTTCCGGTCGGCTGCTCTCGCACTTGCAATGACTGCAATTCAACAGGCTCAAGTGGATGCATGCACGGCCATCGCTGTCACGAGAGGAGCAAGTGCAGACAACTCGACGTTGATCGCCCACACGGACGATGCAGGTGGTGGTGCCGCGGATCTGCGTCTTGTCCGCGTTCCAGCCCAAGATCATGAACCGGGTAGCAAGCGTGCTGTCTACAACTTCAACGGTGGATATCCGAGAGTAGTGGTGCCTGATCGTGGTGTTCATTACCAGCCTGTAAATGATCCAGAGGTTGGCAAGACTCAGGAGTACTCGACGCCACTGGGGTACATCCCACAAGTCGAACACACGTACGCGTACTTTGATCAGGATTACGGGATGATGAACGAAGTCCAGCTCAGTATTGGTGAAAGCACGTGCGGCGCCAAGACGGTCGGCTGGCCGTTGAACATACCTGGTGGCAAGAATCTCTTCGGTATTGCAGAGCTCACCAAAGTCGCGCTAGAACGCTGCGCGACTGCACGTTGTGCCGTTGATACCATGGGCACACTGGCCGAGAAGTACGGCTTCTACAGCGAAGATAGCGGCGATATGGCAAAACCGGACTACGGCGACTCGGCCGAGGCGCTGGTTGTCGGTGACAAGCTCGGTGAGGTCTGGGTCTTCCACGTGATGACCGGTAAGGACAACGCTGGCGCTATTTGGGCGGCACAGCGCGTGCCGGACGGACACGTGACGGTGGTTGCCAATGGATTTACCATTCGCGAGATAGATCTGAGCCAGCCTGACTGGTTCATGGCCTCGGCTAATGTGCACTCGCTCGCCGAGGAAATGGGCTGGTGGGATCCAAAAGGTGACAAATCGTTCGACTTTACGGCCGCCTACGGCTTTGCTGATAAGGACGCGATTGGCCCGCTGTACACCGGTCGCCGTGTCTGGCGCGTGTTTGATGTCTTGGCTCCGTCGCTACAGCTCGATGCTCGTCTCGGTAGCTTCTCCCAGTACGCCACATACCCGTTCTCCATCATGCCTGACCGTCAGGTGGAGACTTTCCAGATCATGGACTTGCTTCGGGATCACTACGAAGGCACGCGCTACGATATGACTAAGGGTTTGGCTGCTGGACCTTTCGGAGCACCTGTGCGGTGGTCAGGAAGCGCTGGTGGCGTCATCGGTGGTTGGGAACGTCCGATCTCCATGTACCGCACTCTGTTCGCATTCGTCCTTCAAAGCCGCAGTCACAAGGGACCTGATGCTGTTGGCGGAGTCGCTTGGTACGCACAAGACGCTCCGCATGGCTCCGTCTTCGTTCCATTCTCGTGCGCGCAGGAATCTGTCCCAGAGTCGTATTTACTGGGCCGCCAGAGCAAGTTCCACTCGCAGTCTGCTTGGTGGGCTTTCAATTTCGTCAACAACTGGAGCCTTTTACGATACAACGCCATGAGTGTGGACATCCGCAGCAAGATCGGCGAGCTGCAGAAAGCTGCCTTCTCTCTGCGTAAGAAGATGGAGAATGAGGCGCACGAGGCGCGACACTCGGACGACGTTACTGAGTCTCAGCTCGTGGCCCGTGTCCAAGGCCAGAGTAACGAATTTGCCGAGAAGGTGGTGTCCCAGTGGTGGCAGCTCGCGTGGACACTGATCGCCAAGTACAGCGACGGCTACATGACGACAGGCGAGGCACCTGAGCAGCAGGCGTCTATCGGATACCCGGCTTGGTGGCTGCAGGCCAGTGAGTTCGCAACGTGGCCTGGTGACACGTTCAAGCCCAAGGCCAGTATGCGCAAGAAACTGGTAGGTGTTGACAGCGTGACTGCCCAGGGTTTCGTTCGCCAGGCAGCTATGGCCAACAGTGTCGAGGTTGAGAATCAAAGCTACCCTATCGCCATCGCGTGGGTTATCATGGGCGCTGTGCTTGGTGCTGGCATGCTCGCGTTCGCCAAGAAAGAGAGCCGCCGCGTCGGCTACAACGCTGTAGCGTAAGAGATCGCTTGCGTATTATTCTACACGAACTCCTTCCAGCGTTAGCCGTAGACCATAGGAAGCACGAAGCTTACGAGATGACAATAGATTTAGCCACCTCCAATATGAATTTTGCTTTAACTTGACCGCATAATCAGTTTGCAACCGTGATTAGTCCCTTACTGTCGGTAATCACCTAAAAGTTGAGTCATCATAGGTGCGCATTTCTCACATATGCGAAGGAGGGGCGATCTCGCTCGACTGTGATTTCACAGATGAGAATGAAGATGATGCTTTACATACCAGGGTTTCGGACTACTGTAGTTTCCACACAGCGATGCCACCGGATACAAAATCTTTTAACGAATTTTAGATTTTATCATTTATGGGTCACGCGGAGTTGAGATCCGCGTTTTCTTGGAAGACAGCACAGTCAAACGGGCCCACGCGTATACTGTATGTACAGCGGAGGACGCAATACTGACGCATTGATTCTGTTGGATGATTTCAATCCAGCTGCTCAAGCGCGAGTCCTAGGAGTACAAGTGGATCTTGATTAATATGCATTCCACCGCTCACTAGCAAGGCTATGCCTTTCGTTCCTCCTCGCATCGGTCACAATGGCATACAAACTGATACTCCCTGCTTGGTCGGGCACCAAGAACGTTAGAAACATTAGTTAGACTCTGAAAATGCTTCCCAAAAGTAGGACAGTGAAAGGCCAACGTACTGAAGGCATTCCTCCCGCTCGTCCACGTCCTGGTCCACATCAATGTACGAGATACACAGCTCCTTGCCCTCCTAACAAATCAAATCCAGTCAGAAGCTCATTTTTTTTTTCACAAATGCTCCAAATGTTGCAACGTACCGGGATATCATGGACAGCGAAAACGTGTGCAGCTCCATCCTTCGTGTACAGCACAGTGCAGTTGGGGTCGCAGCTGTGGTTCATTGTGCAAATACCCGAGAACAACGCCGTGCCTTCCACGCCAACAAAGTCCTCGTCCGTAGCGTAGCATTCTTCTTCTTCATGCTCATGTTCATGCTCCTCGTCACAAAGATGGTGCTTGTGTTCCTCCGCGAACTTCTCCAACGCGACCTTCACGCGGGCCAGTACCGGCGGCATGTCCTTCTTCTCCTCGAGACTGGCCTCACCCAGTGCCTCACCCAGAGCGTGGAACGGGTGATCAATCTCCATGCTAATGTTGTTCATCTCGAACATCCCCACCACGCGGCTGAAAAAGTCGACGTTTAAAACCTCGTCGCACGAGGCCAGCACTGCGTCGGCCGTGAGGCCATTCAGCTCCCCCTGTGTCTCCAAGTGCACAAGGTTTTCCTTAAGACCGCCCATGAAGCGCTCGAACGTCTGCAAGATAAGCGCACGGAACTTATCGCGGTATTCTTCGAGAGTCTCGCCCTCCTCGAGATCGTCTTCCGAGGTGATAACTTCCCACCAGGGCAATTTGCAGAACATGTCGACGGGCTGACGGGCCTGGGCCATGTCTTTTGTGGCCACGAACAGCAATAGGATCTTGGCCACGACCTTGGCCGCGAGCTGGAAGATCTCGTTGGTCACAATCGTGTGGTTGAGGAATTGGCCCATGTCGGTCTCGCGTTCCTCCGACTGCGGGCACAGCAGAGCGTGATGCTGCGCGTAGGCGATCTGTTTGCACGTTTCGGAGCAGTAGATCGCGCCGCACGTGCACTTGACTTGTTTTTCGGCCAGCTTGAAGACGGAAAAGTAGCTCTCCTCGGGACTCTTGCCGCCTTCCTTCTGCAAGAAGGCGATGGCGGCCTCGAAGTCGGCAACGGTGGCCACGTCCTCTTCTGCAGGGGCCGCCTCGCCCTCCACCTCGGCCCGACAGGCCATCACACGGGCCCAGCAGGCTTTGCTGTCAATGAGCGGAACGAAGCAGTTTTCGCAGCAGTCCACGAACTCCTTGTTGTCCTCGTGTTGCATGGCCACGAACGGGGCCTCGGTCCAGATGGGTTCGCCGGCCTTGAGCGCACGGGCAGCATACATGGCCTTGCCCTTATCATCGCCCGCGAAGCCACAGCGAATGGGAGGACTGTGCAGTCGCGACTGCAGCAGTGCCTCAAAGTAGGCGGCCACCTCGGGCCGGTTCTCCTGCATTGTACTGAAGATAACTATTAGCAGATCTTGACACGGCCGGCGCGAGTTGGTGAATGGCCACACACACGCACTGCGGGCTGAAGAGATCAGGATGCGGGAATGGAAGGCCGCTGACTGGTCAAGCTCGCGTTGCCAGCACTTTGCGCGCGCTTTACAGCCCAACTGATGTTCTAATCGAAAACCCATTTCGCCACCTGATTGTGGGATCACCTCGTTAACATGATAAAAACTGGTTCTAGTGTCTATTGTATGTACATAATAAACATACCAAACCTGATTGTTTATCCAAATACATGGTGATATTGCATATTATATAGAAATAATTGTTAATTCAATAGAACAGGTAAAACCGGTATAAGTCGGTATCAAGGGAGAGGAGCATGGCAGCTGGCGTTGCTGGTGGCCACTCATGTACTCGCACACAATATCAGGTTGTCTTCAAGGGATCCGATATTCCGACCACGCCGATGGCATGACATTGTACATAGGCCTCACGATCTATGCTTGAGTTGGCATGTGAGTTAGTTATTGATAGGTTGGCTGCTGCGTTCCCGTCAGTATCGCGGCATTTTGGAGCGAACCAAAGGCGACTGACCACGGCAAACAAGTCCGGCGTGACGTAGCCACGATAGAACGCCCGAGCAACCTTCACTGCCATTTCACTGCCACTTCCAGACGCATTAGACATCAAATCATGACTCGTTCTGATACGACCACCTTCAGACTCACGTACGTGCTTGGCTCGTTGCTTCGCAGTTGAGGCACGTCGTACGCACGAGGCGCTTCGCGCTCAAGCGTCGCGCTCGTATCAATATCTTTGGCCATCGCCATTAATTCGCGTCGTGGCGGACTGCGATACTGATGCAGCCGACGTGCTGGCTTCCGCTCCCGGCCAGTATCAAGGCCTCAGCACCAAGCAATCCCTGCAGTGACGCAGCGATAACTCATCCTTCAGTCCCAACAACAGCTGACGACGACGTGGAGAGGGCACTTCAATATGGCTGTCGACGACGACATTGTCGACTGGGCCAACACGCTGCGCTGCTCACCATATTCATCGTCGTTGCATTGTCTTCGAGATGTGTTAGTGCAGCCGCCGTCGGAACATTCCAGCCGCAGCACTGTGTCAAGTGCGCGGGGCTCAAATACTGCACGATCATGAACGGCCAGTACATGTTCGACCCCATCGCTGGTTACTCCAGGTACGGCACGAACTGCATCGGGTGGTCTTGAGACTGCTGATGATTTTGTGTCCTCTATAGAGAGTCCACAACGCAGCTTGAGAAACAGGGAGTATGTGAGGACTTAGACGCCAAAACGCTGGCACTCATTCCATTCGGTACGCAGCTCCAGTTCAAGGACACACTGGCGTGCCACAAGCTCGTGTGGAATTTTCACTGCCTGTCATGGGTGGCCACTACGTTCCAACGAAATGTGAACGGCACACGTGTGAGCTGTGCCACTACCAGTGGATCTACTACGGTGCCACTGCCGCCGTGTCGATCATTGTGCGTGGAGGTGGCAGATAAGTGTGTTTATTCGCACTTTTATCGGATGTATCTGGATGAGGTGTGTGGGAATATTGCATGCTTGACAGAGACTCAAGAGGCAAAGAACACTGGATCCACGGATACTAACGTAGCGGAGACCACGTGTGTGTCTGGAAGCTGGGTGTATTCTGAGAACAAGACGTTTTCACGCTGTTCCACTCGTGCTTATGAGCCTCCCGTAGCAGTAGCTACTCGCGATACCATTTGCAAGGCGGTGATTGCTGTGTGTGTGCTGAGCGTCTTGTGGCTGATGTGACGAAGTGCTACATATCCTTGCAGTAGAGGTCTCAGTAGAAAACGGCTTTGCTTAGCCTTGGCTAGGTTGGACAAACCAACCATAATACCATTCAGCGGCATTCGAGTTGCATCGTACTTTACTCTCATGAATATGGATATATGCTATATGAATCACGAATCAGGCCGTACTCGTGCAAATCTAAGAAGTCGAGTAATGTATCGCGTTCACTTTCTCAGCGAGCGGCGAAGGAGTTGCTTCCAAGACACTGCTATCAAAAAAATCCTATCGAGCGGTAAGTTTTTTTTTTCTGTTTCGCTTGCCTTGGACTTCAAATACGTCTCAGATCTTTCGAAGGACGATGATACTAACATGTAGTATACGACATGGAACAGAACTCTGTATCATCAATTCGAACAGAGCTGTATAATTACCAGTTGCAGGTACGCTTTCAGTGGGGACTCAAATGCATGTTTCCCTTTCAAATTGATTGTGCGGCTTGAGTTACTCGGTAATTTGCGTATACTTGCATAGTAATTTCCCGAGTCATTTAAGAAGCACAAGCATGGTTCCTGTCCTACATCCAGCAAGTGTAGCTCGAGTCCACATTTGGCAATTCTCTCTCTCCAACACAGCTACTGCTCGTCGGTCCAGTCCGTTCTTCTGACTTCTGCGTTTGTACATACTATTAACCACTGTGATCGCAACCACTCTTGTGACGACCGGCAATGCGCTTTCGGACTCATACGACGATTCCAAGATCACAACTTTGAGAGGAGCCGCTACCAATGCTGCCGTTGGTGATTCTTTCACAGAGCGCTTGGCGACAAATGGACTTGCATCCGAAGAAGAACGTGGTCGTCGCAAATAAAAATCGCTACAGAAACGAAATTGAGGAAGAAACTGAACACGACGAAAATGAAGGCACCGACGAAGACGTTGATGAAGTCGAAAAAAACATCGACGGAGGGACCGATGAAGACACCCACGAAGGCATCGATGCAGATACCGACGAAAACATCGATGAGGAAAACACCGATGAAGAAACTACCGATGAAGGTGTTGATGAAAGTGGCAGTGAAGGCACTAACATTGACGACGATGATGTTAAAGACAACGAAGGTCGTGATCGGCGCCGCCGGCGTCGTTTTATCTCACTTTTTGACTGAAACTAGGATCCAGGACCTTACCACTGTTGGTAGACCAGGGCTACAAACTTTTCATGCTTCAGCTCTTCTGCTTCCAGCTATCTGCGTAAAAGTATGAAATCAAGTCTTCAAAAAGTTTATTTTCCTATTTTCGCTCTTCCTTGGCTTCTCATAAAATTCAACAAAAAATATGTACATAGACGCAGCATTTCCGAATTCTAGAAGCTAAAGTCTAGACTTCCGTCCGACTCGACTTTCCTCCCTTTCGCTTCGAATTCGGAGACCTTCCACCGCTCTACTGGCATTTGGCACGAATCTCGGGCGCTGTGAGACGCTTGGCCACTTTTTTATAAAGCCGCTCCAAGTAGAAGGCTCGTTCTCTCTGCCTCAATAGCGATAGAAGCGATGGATAATAATGGTACAGACGTGGACTTGGAGGCGAACATGTCGCCGCCCTGGAAGGCGCTGAAGTCGTCGGCGTTCAGTAGCGCCAAGAGTGGTGGTCTGCGCGCGGCCCGACCCGACTGTAAGTTGTCCGATCTTCTCCTGGCTGGCCACATTCTTGGCCATCGTTCTAACCTTGTGGCCTGCCCAGTGAACCGGTACTCGAGCGTGGCCGCGCCTTACGGCCCCACTGACCCTGTGGCCAGCACCTACTTCCAGGTTGTCATCAGTAAGGCCAAAGCTCCGATCGTGTGTGGAGACGCCGGGCCCGTCAAGGGCAAGGCCATCTACGCCGACCGCGACCTACCCAAGGCCACGCGCATCTGGACCGAGTCGCCGCTCGTGGCCATGCAGCACGAGCGAAACCGCAGTATACTGCCATGCTGCCAGTACTGCTACCTGCCGCTGCTCGGCGACGCCCAGCGGCAGTGGCGTGACATCGTTATGCGCTACAACGCGCAGGCGGCCGCCACGACGCCGACATCAAAGCCGACCAAGAAAACCAAAAGTGATGGTGGAACGACAACCACGACGACCGGGAGCTCGGTCGGACAGCAACAGGATCCGGCCAAGCGAGGCCAGGCACTGGCCACGGTAGATGAGGACGCTATGGAGAAGGCATTGAAGCTGTTGCGGATCACGCCGCAAAGCTGCGGCATGGCCGGCCCGGCGGCCAAATGTGCGTGTGGTGAGCTGTACTGCTCAAAACTATGTCGGATGCGCGCGTTCCACGAATACCATGCCATCCTGTGCCCACGCAGCGATCCGTGGTCGGCCATGGGAGAGTTTTTAAAGCACACGCTTCACACTAATGACATTTTCTTACTTGCTGCGAAGGTCATCGCCCGCGTACTCTCGCGATATCTGGTGTGGCGAGACATCGTCAAGGCACGTGAGCCCATCGACATGTTTTACAAGAAACCGTGGTGGGAAGTGGTGGTCGTCGAGCACGACGAGTCTGAGAGCAACTTAGAGTCTTCAGGAGAGACGTCGGGGAGTGGCAGTGACCAGACAAGTAACGACGGTGGAGCGAGTAGTAATAACGAGGAGAGATCACCCAGCGATGTCAAAGATATCGATGAGGAGCAGAAAGCTGAGGCAAATGACCCGACGCCAATGCAGGAACAAAATCCTCGACAGGAGGCTGAAGAGGAGCACAAACAGGATGGAATCTGGACCAATGGGTCGTCAAAGACGCAGTGTTTACAGGAAGTATTAACCATGATGCACCAGTTGCTGGTCGATGCATTAGAGTGTAATCTAGTGCGTCTTGAGAGGGAGGGCCAACTACGAGGTGTGACAGTGGAGGAAATCTGGCGCTGCTGTTCGAGTGTACTAAGTTTCGAGTTCTTTACGGCGCAGATTGGTCTTTTCGAGATGAACAACATCAGTATGGAGGTGGATCATCCGTTCCACGCCTTCATTGACATCCTGGACCCGGATGTGCAAAGTGACTTAGCTGCAGGCGATCCAGACCACAGTGATGATCCTATGAGCCCAAAGGTACAGCCACAGCTTACTGCAGAGGATCAAGTTCTACTTAATAGCGTGCGACGTGTACTTGAGTGGGAGAAACAGCGATTGCAAGCAGAGCAGGGGCTGGAACAAAGTGCTATTGAAGATGCTGACGCATTGATGTGGCTGGGATATCCTCGTATTGAGGGCACTGCGTTGTTTCCGATTATTTGTACGATGAACCACAGTTGCGACCCGAACTGCACTGTCATGTATACTAAGAATGGAGACGGCCACGTGGTTGCAGTCCGTGATATCCACAAGGGCGAGGAGTTGTGCATCTGCTACATCGACGTTGACATGGACGTACAAACACGCGAGACTAATTTGCGTGAGTACAAGTTCAAATGTTTCTGCTCGCGATGCATCCAGGAACGCCAGCAACAGAAGCGAACGGGTACCGAACAGTCAAATCCACGAAGTGATCAAGCACAAAATTCTACCTCGGAGAAGCCACAGAAGCCCAAGAAATCCAACAAGAAAAGCGGCCAGCGATGAAGGTACGTGGCCTCAGGACTCGTTGCGTATGACGAAACACGTAGTAATAAATCAGGGCGACAGGAATCGCCATGTACATCACATGAGGCGAGTAACTATTCCACGTCTTGTCTGTTGAAACATTGAAGAGGTAGACAAAACTCGTTAAAACTCAAGTTAAAACTCACAGAGGATAAGTCGCAGCCACGCCGGAGATCCCGTTGAACAGGTACGTGTGGTTGAGTGGCTCGAACTGGTGCGTGATCAGCTTGATAGCCTCCTGCGCAGCCACACCGCCCATTAACGCAGCGATGTTGTGCAACTCGACCTCACAAGACCGCGTCATCTCTAGTGCGTGATCGTCGGTAATCCAGTCGGCCACGTCGCTACCGGCCGCCAGTTTCTTGGCCTTCGACACAAGCCACGCGCCATCCTGCGTGGCTGCAGCATCTTCCGATCCAGGGTAGCGATTAAACTCGGAAGCGAAGGCCGCCACTGCACGGAGCATGAAGTACCAGATCAATGGCGACTGCTCCTTGTCCTCGTCCTCCAGGTCCACACTCGATAAGTCCACGTGCTTGTATTCCTGCGCCACAGTACGTGTCTCCAGCATGCCAATACTTGGGGCGTTCTTACAGAATGCCGCCACAGCATCGAACGTAATGCTGTCCTCGTCCAGCTTCAGGCCACGCAATTTGTTGCGTAGAATCTCGTGCACTTTGGTAGCATCCTCCTTGGCCTTGTTCACGTACAGCTCCTGCAGGGCCACGTACGATTCCGTCGACGCCGTCATATCCGGGACGACTCCCGTTACCGGCAATAAGCCATCGTTCTGTTTGACAAAATCTGCCAGTGCGTGGGCCAACAGCCAGAACTCTTTGGTATCTTTCGTCTTCTCCAGCGTCTCCACCGAGACCGTGTGGGCCGGCGCGGCCTCCAACACTGGCGCAACTTCCTCCGGTATCTGGGGAGGCACGTAGGCCTTATAGGCGTTCTCAGCTGCCTCAATAAAGTTAAGTTCGTGGCCGGCCGGGCCCCACGCCATCTCCTGTAGACTCTTCTTGAACGCGTCCTTCTCTGGGAACGTGGCCGGCGGCTTGCCATTGTGGGCCTCCTTCCACTTCTTCATGGCCTGTAGTAGTAATACCACAAAGGGAACGTGTGCGTGTTCAATAGTTGACAGCGACTTTAAATCAAAACTGTCTGCGAACTTCTGCAGCGTTGGGAAGGGCGTCGAGAGTCTCAGTTCGTGACGTGGTGGGTCCAATTTGGCGTCAGCGATGGCGTGTTGCGCCACCTGCAGCCTTAACGAGCCGAGGAAACCGTAGGACGTCACTAATAACAGCGGAATCCTCTTGGCCAAACACAGTTCGGCCAATTTGGTCGTGGCCAACTCGTCCAGCTGCGTGGCCAGCACAAGATCGAACTGGTCCAAATACTGAGGCTCGTTCAGTAGCACCTGCTGCACGTTGGCGTGGCGGCCATCGCCGGCCACGTCCGCGTTCATCTCCAGCAGCAAATTGGCCACCGTCTCAGCCCTGGATTGGCCCACAGCGTCCGCCGTCACGAAGAAATTGTTGGTCGCGTTGGCCAGTGACACATTGGCATCGTCCAGGATCGAAAATCGTCCGATACCGGGCAACACCAAGTTCTTAAGCGCCTCGGAGCCCGTGGCGCACGAGCCAATAAGCAATACCTGCGTATTGGCCAGACGTCGCTGGCCCTCGGCGCCCCACAGACGCAACTGGCGGTCGTACTTGTCGCCCATAGTATCGTCGATGGAGAGAGAATGTCAAAGTGAAGATTTTTGTATCAGAGTGATGGAGATGCAATTTTAGTCATAGAAAAAAGAAATGAAATGTATTGAAATGATGGGTTTATGTGGAGTATGGCACACGAAATCGTCTTCAACATAGCATTTTCTAAGAGGATTGAGACGGAGAGCGTTGTTCTGGTTTGTCCTTCTTGTTGCTGGCATCTTCACTCTTGCCTCGACGCTTTTTCGTGTCCTGGAAGGATGTCAAAGAACTGCGTGTCTTGGTGTCACGATGGGAGGGGCTGATGACGACGGAGGCGTGCGGAGCGATGGTAACGAGGTGGTTGGCGAACATGAGGGACGGCTTCCTTGGGCTCAGCCGAAGTAGTTGTTTGAGGACGCGTGGGAATTCAAAAATGAGATAGCAACACCGGGGGATATTTGGTGGTTTTAAGCAAATCCATTGTTCCCCTCCGAGAGGCTTAGTCGTGTATCCAACTCGGAATGCAAGCGCGGCATCAACTTTTTGGTGGCCTGTATCATCACATCTACCGTTGATTGTAGCGAAGGTGAGCGCGGAACGTTCACGATCGATTAAAATCCTGTGTACATGTAGGATTTGCGAGCAGCGATGCCCGCCGCCGTATTACGCTTAGATAGCCCGCATGTATTTTTCGTCGCGTATACATACACTTGCCCGCTGGGACATTGATGGCCATTGGCCTCACGAGATGCTCGAGGTAGAGAATCGCACACGATGGATACTCTTCGAGCAAGAGCGACAGCCTGGCGCTGCTGCATGTACATGTATTACAGCCTTGCTATTTATCTCTCCATAACTTTATCTTCGGAAAAAAGAGTTGTCATCAAGACTCGATTATTGTCAATATGGCAATTGCCAACATACACAATTGCAACATGAGAGTAGATTATTGTATCGTACAGAGCTATCGAGCTTCACGACGTGGCGCGGCCATGGCTGAGTACCGCATGGTTCCATCCTTCACGCTCGCGATGGCTGCAACTCACTTTCGTGAGTTGTCCGTTCACGACGAATACCGAGACGTCGCCGCTTCCTTCTTGTTGTTGTTACTGTTCAAGTCTTCGCTCTTGGCGCGTTGTTTCTTTGTGTGTCGAGACGAATTTCCTGTTGTAGATGAACTTCGTTGCTGGGAACTGTGATCGACGGGACTAACGATGACGGCAGCATGAGGGGCGATAGTCACAAGGTGGTTGGCAAACATGGAGCTGAACGGAGCTGGCGACTTGCGATAACGAACGGAAATTGGTAAATGAAGTGGGCTCTACAGCACATGAGCTATTCGATGGATCGCCTCGCAAAGAGATAGAGGTGCACAGAAACTGGAGTATCCAGTGTACCATGGTCATGTGGTCGATGACCTGCAACTCCATCTGAGAACAGCGGTTTGCTGTTATTTAGTCGTGTATGTATTTATCCGTGCAATGCTGTTTGATGAAGCTGAAAGAGAATGTTATTCACCTTCACTCACATTCGTTGAGAACTGCAAATGCAAGTGCGAGATCATACTGTAGCTCGTAACACCAGTGTTACTCTACTGGAAGTCATCAATGTGCCGTATCAGGAAAGCGACTAAAAACGTGACAGGATTTGCTGGCAAGAGCATGCTGCTCCGTTGTATTATGGCACGAACTTACCACGAATTTGTGGTCACATGATCACTTTTGTCGCATCAAGTAAAAAACTGCGTGATATCTAATATCGTAGTAGTAGTCAAAGTAAATACTATAGAAGCTGTTTGCTTTGTTTGGCTTTTAATCTCAAATGTGAACCCACTGCAGCCGTTCGTGAAACGCGAAGTGAACGTTCCCAAGCGAAAGGCGACAGCTATAACGACGTGGCTGTCGTTCAAACGCCAGTGTAGTGATTCGAATGAGCGGACCAACATTGGCTGTTAACAGCCATTGTTGTGTGTTGCAAGCTCTTTAGTCTGCAGAAAAGCATGGTTTGCAGCCATGGTACCAGTGAAGCCCACAAAAAGCTCACCGCGCCAATCCAGACACAACTACCTTACACTGTAAGGTTACAGCGATACCGACGCGACTAAATCTCGTCACGGGTGTATACGATACAGATCCTTCAACTTGACCGTTCCACAAGCCGGAGCGGAGCCCCAATGTCGACACCTTCCGATAGAAGTTCCGCAGCACGTGCTGCTGTTTGCGAGCAATGTGATCCACCGGTGTAGTCGCCTAGTCATAGTCGCGAGTCGCGACTTATATGGCGCGATGATGCTCGCACTTGAAGTGGGTGGATACTCAAGCCTGAAAAAGGCCAGCCGACATACGAAAGAGGCGCGGCGGCTTGCCTCCCTTGAAGTTGAGCGGGGGTCGTCTCATTCTGCAATTGATCACAAGCCAGCACAGCCACTTCACACCAACAGCTCCGAGATGTTCGCCAACCACTTCGCGACCATCGCGCCGCACGCCGCCGTTATGGTGGTAAGTCCCAAAGACAAGAGCTCGTCCCCCACAACACCAGCGTCCAAAGACCGCAAGAAACACCGAGCTAAGAGCGAGAGTAACGTCACGACCGACAAGAAACCAGTCCGCATCGCATCGCGACAATCCTGCTGAGCGAAGGTCAAGGCCGTCGACCTCAAACCATTGCGAGATGTGGCCAAACATGCGTCGCCGTCTGTACCATACATACTGAGTCAAGTCGCCTTATCGGAGACCGAGCACACAAAACCTATTTGAAGGCGGATAATTGATAGATTCTAAGTGAATACAAAGTGTCGATTTTATTCATTTATCGTGGAATTCAAGCTGTAGTCTTGGCGTCGCAACTACTGCGACCTAGTCTCCTTTATTTTAGCTGAACGAGTAGCCCGGAAGAGTGGCGCGCGGAGCAAAAGCGAAGGTGCCTGGCTCGTAGGACTCGACGTGCGAGGCCATCTGCGCGATCGAGCAGCAGCCGCAGCAGAAGCTGAAAGCTGCGTCCTCGGCGTGCGACCCGGGAATGCTAAAGAGCGTGCGGATACGCCAGCGCAACCGCATCATACAGAGAACCGAGATGACTGCGCACAGCCAGAAGAGGAAGTCGAAGAAGCCACTGTGGGTAGACACCGAGACGAGTGCCAGCAGATAGAGGCCTCCGAAGATGCCGAGGACGTGGTAGAATGGCATCAAACCAAGACGGGCAGAAATCTGAGCTACCACGAGACCAGGACAGCAGCATGACATGACGCCTACACAATAGAACCAGGATTGTTAGCAACTATTCATAACAAATGGTAAAAGGTAGAGTGCTCACCATTAGGGACGATGGAGTCAGTGAAGCCGAAGAGACCAGTTTTCCAGCGGCCAGTGATGATTCCATTCGAGTCGACACCCTGGGTGCTGTTGTCACCATCTGCAATGTTGACCGTCACATCGGCTTGCTTGGTCGGCGGCTCGAATTGCATGATTACTGAGGTTGTTGGAAGGCTTTTGAAGCTGGCAGGAAATCGAGGAATGAATTGGAGCTTCGGTTGATGCCATCGTTAGTAGATATACTCGTCCTCTGCTGGTCAACGGGTCTTCACGTTCTGATCTGGTAGTATAAATACATGCCTAATATTAGATCCAACAAACTTAGGTAAGGTATTTTAGATTAGGGCAGCGATTAAGGCTCGATCCCTGGAAATAATTATACTTGAGCGAATCATCTCAGGAAGCTTGATACTACATCGACTAAGACTTATACGCCAGACTTTGAATGAACATCACTCGTGTTATGTTGGAAAACTTGTTACATGTCGAATACCGATCGAACCTTGCGGTTCTCCGCTTGAGATGTAGCTTCGTTCTCGGTGTCACTATCATCATCATCGTTGCCAAAGAATTCCATCTCAAAGCCTCCATTCACTGCTCCCAACCGCTGTCCAGATTCCAGATCAACAGCTACGTGCATATACCGTGTCTCATTCATTTTGTTCTCCATGGCATGCAACTTTCGACGGAGGTAAACGAAGCTTGCAAGCAGAACCATCGAGCAGAGGATCGTAGGAAGGACAACATGGTAGAGTGCCCGATGTGCAGCCTCCATTTTAGGGGTCACCAGTGCCATCAATAGGAAGAGCTGCATGTCAAACGTGCCGTGAATGAGGACAGCCGGGAGGATTACTGTCATCTTCGTACGCCAACGTCCTAGGTCCGCTTTAGCAGCATTGGTGCCTCTCTGTTCGCTGCCACCCTGCCGATGGGCAAGCAGTCGTTCGGCCATACGTACACCGGTTATTCCACCACATATACAGTGCAATGGTACGCTCGAGATACCACGCAACACTGCAGTTTCGATCTTGTCGCGAAAAGTAGGAGCTAACAGCGAGAAGGCCGATGTTTCCATCACGGAAAAGCCCAGTGCACCAGCGACTACTGCGAGAAACACCACGAACGCGTGGTTGGCATGCGGGCGGTGATAGAAGAGCAGGCGACTGGGATGACACATCATTCCTCGCAGTGCTCCATGTCGTTGTTGTCGCTGCTTCAGTACTGAAAAAGCAGGCGCAGACCCGCTCTTGGCTTTACAGCAACAACATAAGCTACGAATGCAGCATCCACGTCTTGAACTTCCACAACAGCAGGTTCCCTGAACGACCCAGTACTTCAAAAACTCCTCCACTAGTCCAGCCACGATAAAAGCGAAGCAGAAGAGGAACAAAAAGTAGCCGACAGTCTTGTCGACCTTCAAACTCATCAGCATCTTGCCTAGTTTCATGTTATGAACTGGAGCTGGTCGGCCGTCGCCTGGAGCGTGGAAATACTTGTGCAGTTGGTTCAATATGGAGGTTCGTTGGTCGAAAAAGCACAAAGAGGCCAGCAACGGACCCAAAGTCAGTTGGCCAACTAAGGCCAGCACTGGAAGCATAATGGGCCCGCCCAGGAACGTCCTAAAAAGCTGTTCAATCTCACGATCTCTGTGAAAATAGGCATTATTGTCAGCTTTGGTAAGGAATATCACGGTTATCAGGAACGTACGTGACGCCATGATGCTGTTGTTGGCGAAACACCCATCGGAAGAAGACAATTACGGGTATACACAACACAAACAGCACAGGGAGAACTTGTAGCTGGCCGATTATCTAATAAAATAAACAACGCAGAATGGTAAATTACGTCGTCTTTTTCAAGAGGCTACGCGAGTAAATGAAGATAGTGAAAGCAGCACGTACAGTGAGGAAGAGGGAGAAGCACAGCAGAGCCACAGCGTACTCTCGACGACCGTAGCGCTGCAGCTTGGCTAGCAGCAGCATGGTGTCCACGCGGCAATGAAGCGCCAAAGGGGTACGCTAGAGAAATGATGAGAATGAAAACTATACCGCCAGGTTACGTTAATGTAAGAGACACAAATAACCTGGTCAAAAGTATATGTAACCTGTTACATGCTGTTACATAGGTCAACTTCAACTTGCATAACATCACCATGACTAGACCACTGGCCATTCAATTACAAATTAGTTTCTACATTGATCTATGGCTTCTCGCAGCCCGAGTCGTCTGACGTGCAGAGCTGGCAGATCTGCGAAAGGTACGAGCGCTTGCAGCCGAACTCGGACTCGGCACAGAGCGGACTGTTCTCGTAGCACGACGGATTCAGCGCCGCCAGCTCGTCCTCCGTGGGTAGCGCACGCATGACGCCACCGTCACTCGTTGCTGGATTAGACGACACCAGCGCGCCATAAGCAGACACGAGCTTCTCGACACGCTCGGCGTTGGCGTCGCTATCACCAGGATTGGCCCAGAACTCGAGACCTTCGACTAAGTCCACGACGGTGGACAAGAGTCCAGTCAACAGAGACAGCACGCCACTCACGATAGACACGCTGAACTCCACGCCGCCAGCCTCGCAGAACTCCTTGTAGTCGGCGTACTTGTTGCCTGTGGCCGGGTTAACCATTGACGTGATACCCACGACATCGTCCAGCAGGATGTAGCCCAGGATTTCGTACGTAAAGGTACAGGTCACTCCATCGGGTTCCACTCCAACAGGACACATACCACCGGCGTATTTTTCGCGACAAGTATCAGTCTTGTCGTCCCAGAGTTCCTGCGGGCAGCTATTTGGGAAGGAGAACCAGTAGTTGTGCGGGTACGGCGCGATAGCCTCGTTGTCCTGTAGCGTACCACCGACACAGAAGCCCAGATCGGGTTGGCCGCCAGCCCCGATGTACTGATTGCACACGTCAGGGAAAACTCCGTCCTCGTTGGGATTGCACCGACCGCCGTCCATAGACATGAACGGACAGCTCTCGACTGCGAAGTTGTGCTCGTCCGTGGCGTTCACGTAGTATTCCATAGCGGCGGTAGGCTGCACGATTGTGGTTTGGTAGAACACAACGTACTTGATGCTGTTCTTGCGCTCGCAATCAGTGATCACCGACGCGTTGATGCATTCGGCCTGAACGTATTTAAGAGCGCCCTCCACAGACGCCATGTTGACAGTGTCTAGTACGGCACGGTACTTTTGGTCGAACGTCTCGTAGTAGGACGATACAAAGCGCTTGTGCTTGGCGTTCCACTCGGGCATGTCACCTTGCACACGCACGCCCAACCGCGTAACCTTCGTGAAAGACGAGGAACTGGAGGAAGAGGAGGCAGAAGCGGCCGCCGACGCGGCCGAATCGGAGGCTTCCGTTGACGATGCCTGCGAATTTGAAGCAGAATCCGATGCAGACGCGACCGAATTAGAGCCTGGCGTCGACGAGTATGCGGAAGTGGAAGAAGTCGATGAAGCTGACGCAGAGCTCTGGGCTGAGAACGAGCTATCCTCCGAGCCAGAAGCTGAAATTGTCGTCTGCTGAACCGGATTCGAGCCACCGGAGGTCCCTGAAATCGTTGTCTGCTGGATCGGAGAGTCTTCGGAGGAACCTGAAGTCGAAGCCTGTCCAGAGGTTGAGTCCGACGATTGAGGAGAATCGTACTGGTTGCTGTCATCACTGTCTGTCGCGTCGTCTTCTTCTTCGATGCTGCCAACGTCAACCTGCAGCGTCCGACTGCCGCTGCCAGCGGGTTTGGAGCCGTTCTGAACCGCAGTATCTCTCGGAGACGAGGAAGCCGACTTGTCTGCGTCCACAGCGGATGAATCTCCCTTGCTGTTAGAGCTGGAGACTGTGGGTGTATCCCCCTGGATCGGGGTAGTATCACTACCATTCTGGCTAACATCACTACCCGTCGAAGTGGTATCCTTAGTATCGGAGCCCTTAGCCGGAGTGGCGGTGGTATCACTCATCGCATCACTGCCCTGCGTCGTCGAATCGCCGTTATATTGACTGGCAGTGGTGCTATCGCTTCCCGTCGCGCTGGTACTCGGAGTGTTGTCGCTGTAGTTCGATCCAGAGGACGTCACTTGAGTAGCATCACTACCAGCGGTCGAGTCTGACGCAGCGACCTGGTTACCATCGTTGCTTGCAGGACTGGACGTAGCGGATGCGGTTGAAGCGCTGCCTGTAGCTAAGCCAGAATCGGTCTGTTGAGTAGCACCACTACCAGCAACTTGAGTGGCGTCGCTGCCCGTGGTCGAGCTGTAGTCGGTCTGCTGGGTAGCGTCACTACCTGCAACGTCGCTGCCAGTCGAGCTGGAAACCGGGGCATCGCTACCGCTGGTAGTCGAGCTGGAACCGGTAGTCTGATCAACGCTGCTGCCAGCGGTGGAACTGGAGGCAGCCACTTGTGTAGCATCACTACCTGATGAGCTGGAGACTGTGGCCGTGGTGGCCGCGGGGGTGTAGCTGTCTCCGGTATCCGCAAAGCCTGATCCGGTTTCGCAGATCGTGCCCTTGGCTTCCACGGACGCCGTGGTGACGGCCAGCGCCGCGCAGATGGCCAAACCCAAGGAGAAGACCTTCATCACTCAAGGAGCTAAAGGATAACGAGGCGGTGTCCCGAGCGCAAGTGCGGAAGTGAGCAAGCATATCGACCAGGAACGGCAATGGGTCTCCGAACGTGACTGCAACGACGCATCTGTCGTCCGGGAGCGCAGATCTGACGGCTGTGGGGCATTGTAGAAGATGTGCAGGATTACCAGGCAGGCCTTTTGTATGCATTCGGACCAGCGTCTCGTTGCTGGCGGCCAGAACGGATGCAAGCCGCCCAGATGTCGTCGCGACCGAAAGTTGCAGAGACCTGTCTGCGGTGCTGTACCAGTGTTAACAACTGTGTGAAGCTGGCATTTCGATGGCCAACCACCGGCGGGATACCGCTCTATGGAGGTCCGGCTTGAGCCAGCTGGGCATTTGTTGTCCGCTATGTCAGCGATGCCCACCGACACTCCGGCTCCCGTCGTGCACACGTCGGCGTCTACCGGCAGCAGCGATCAATCTTGTCTTGTTCTGGCGAACGCTTGCATTGAAACGGCGACTGAACTAAGACCACAGTCGGCTCAGTGGCCTTCGAGAATGGTCAAGTGGTTGTAAAGCTGTAGATGAGACTTCTCTTTAGCTGCTATGATATAGGTGAGAGGCAATGCTGCAAGGGCCAACATGCCGAATCGCCCATCGCCATCTGCCGGTCTGTTTGCTTGTTACATGTATCACACGCATCAGGCATACTGCGGATGTCGGGCCGACGGTCGACTCACCGCTGTGTGCTTCACAAATCGACCTTAACGCGGGACAGTAGCTCGTTTCGGAGCTGGCGTGCGAATACGCATGAGAGAAGCGCAAGCAAGACGCCTCAACGCCCACACACACAGCTACTCGCCAGAAAGGTACTTAGGTACAGAAGCGTCCGAGGATGGCGTAGTCTCCGCAGCTTGCAACGTTGTTATTGTTGTCGTCATGTTGATCTTGTTCAGTATCCAGTGATAGGAGTGGGATGCTATGTGGACCATTGTGGACTTTCACTGTGGCTTGTGGATCAATGGGTGCTGCTCTAGCTGCAGACGAACTGGGCGTGCAGTACATGGCGTTGTGCTAGTCGACGAGCAATATTCAAAGCACAGACTACATGTAGTGTAACTTCAGTAGTTTTTTTTTCTTCTTTGGTGCAATTACATTTGAACTTCGGACTTACATTCGACTGGCGAAGCCTACGTCGGAAGTTTTCCAACGAACTGTCACTTGCCAGTGTATCTTGGTCATGCAACTGCTAGAGGTTGAAGCATTTTGCCACTTACAAGGCTGGTTGACAGGCCAACAAGAAAATCATGTTGCTGAGACAAATGATCAGGGGCATGGCAACCGCGTACGTTTACAGGACTCGGCTCAATGCTCATTGGACGGTCTGTAAACACTGGACCAGAATTTGAGGTGGGTAGATATCATGTGGAGCCCCACACGGTGACAGCGCCATAATAAGATTTTCCCTGCTCGCACCAAGCCGCTACTAGCATAAAGATGCCCGTCTCGTTCGCCCAGCCTGGCTCTGATGGCACTCTCGTCGATGTTGATCTCGAAATTGTCTCCGCAAAGGTGAGTTGTTATGAGCCACCGTCTCACAATTTAATGCTAAACTTCGCGTATTTTTTTAGGGGATCACTGCCGGTGACTACCTCGGTCTGGGGGCTGCTCTCAAGGGCAGTCTATCCTCGAGCGATGCCTACGTCACGATCGAGATCGACGGCAATCTGGTGGCCTGGACGCGTCCTATCTTCGATACCCTCGAGCCCGAATGGAACGAGAAGTTTTTGTTCAAGAACGTTCAGCAAAACTCAACGTTCAAGTTAACCTTATTTGACAAGGACATCGACGCCGACGACGAGCTGGGAGCAGCACAGTTCAACACCATCCACACAATTTACGATACGGAAACCACGTTCGACCTGCCAGTCACGCTGCAAGAGAACAAGGCTGGCACCATCAGCATCACGGTAAGTTTCGTAATTGTTGTCTGCATACACTTTCAGTCAACTTACACAAACGTTCATTCAGGTCAACTGCCACAAGGTTGATGCTGATGAGTTCGCACTAGTCCAGGAAGTAGGACCTGTCCGCTACTCCGTGCACTCAAGCTTTACGGCTGGATTGCTGAAAATGTTGACGTCTAACGATGACCGACTCGAGTCGTTGGCGTACCGTGTCCAGCTCCACAACATCCCGCAGTTCCTGCCAACTGACAACGAGTGGAACAAGAATTATCCGACCATCCAGCGGATTTTTTCGCCCGATTATCCGGAGTCGCCGGTGCTGCGTCAAGCAGTCATGACGCAACACGCCGTGATCTACCAGCATGGCGAGGAACGCACAAAATACGGCTCCATTGCGTCTCCTGCGGACTTTTTCGAGTTGGTCCACAACGGCAGACGTAACGACAAACCCGTGCTCTTCACGTACGCTATTACGTCCAAGGGCTGGTACTTCTCCGAGACCGGTGCGGCCTTCTTCAAGGATATGTTGTCCAAGCACATGTTACACTCCGGCGCCGCGTTCTCCGTCAAATACGCTGGTGAATTCCACATTCAACAGACCGATGACGACACATTCAAACTCGTGATCGACAACAATAGCGGCACGTACGCCCCACCTCAAGAGCAATTGCCGCAGCTTCAAGAGCTCATGGAGAACAACTTCCCGGGGATTATTTGCGAAGCTCTGGACCGCGATGATGAAACATTGGTGGAGGCGCGTAAGGAGATTCTCGCGGCATGGGAATAATAGCTTACTGTTTACTTAAGTAGAACACAAGCGAACACGTAACATTTTTCTCAAAACTAGATTTACAGTGGTTGTTTAGCGTGAAACATTCGTGTCCACCACTGAGTGACGAACCCATTTGCAAGCTGGAGTCACATTGTGTACCCAAAATGACCAACTTTTTAGGTTGTCACGCAAGTTGAAGCGAAATTGGTATTACTTCGTGTGGGTACATTTTTGCAACATCGTCTGTAAACAATTGTTTGTGATTTGCGTTCCCATCATACCACAGATCAGAATTCTCTGCCATGGGCCAAGCACCTTCCACCACCAAGGGCGGACTTCCTGCCTTGACGCACTCGACACCCGCCTTGTTCCCGTTACCGTCCGATGAGTCGGATCTACCTGAGAACGCCGTACTCGACGTAGAGCTCGAGATCGTGTCCGCCAAAGTGCGAAATAATGCATTCCTTTCGTCATTTTTGCCATTATTTGTAACGTTTTATTTGCCAGAATATCGTTGCAGGCGACTATTTGGGCGTCACGGCTCTACTGAAGGGCCAATTAAGCTCCAGCGACGCGTACGCCGTGATCGAAGTGGACGGCCAAAAGGTGGCCTGGACACATCCGGTCTTCTCGACGTTGGAACCAGTTTGGAACGAGAAATTTTTCTTCAGGAACGTCCGACCCGACTCACTGTGCAAACTCTACCTGTTTGATAAGGACGTGAATGCTGATGACGAGCTGGGGGAGACGCAATTCACGGCGGCCAATACGGACGGCGTCGAATCAACGTTCGAGTTGGCCATCTCGCTCCATGGGCGCAGTGCTGGTACCATAGTGGTCAAAGTCAAGTCGTTTCCAGTCGAGCCCCTGCGTCGTGTCCAGTTCCATGAGCTCGGCTCTGTGCGCTACTCGGTCCACTCGAGTGTGACTGCTGGTCTGATGACCATGTCCACTTCGAACGATGCGAGAATTGAGTCGTTGGCGTACCACATTCAGTTGCACAATATTCACCAATTTTTGCCAACGGAGCACGAGTGGAACAAAAATTATCCGACGATCCAACGGATTTTTTCTCCAGATTATCCGGGGTCACCGGTATTGCGTCAGGCGATCATGACGCAACATGCTGTGATTTACACGCACGGCCCGATGAACACAAAGTACGGCGCGATCTCGTCGCCGACGGAATTCTTCAAGCTGATTCATGATGGTCGGCGACAGGGCAAGCCAGTGCTTTTCACCTACGTCATTACCAAGAATGGCTGGTATTTTTCGGAGACCGGTGCGGCTTTTTTCAAGGATATGCTGTCCAAGCACATGCTGCACTCCGGCGCCGCATTTTCTGTCTTGTAAGCATATTGCCATTGTTGCGTTAATTTTGAGGCGATGTACTTATCACTCGTGTTATGTACGAACAGGTATGCCGGCGAGTTCCGAGTTGATAACTACTTGTTTGGAGAGCCCAAGCTTGTCATTGATAATGATAGTGGCACGTACGCACCGCCCAAGGAAGATCTGCCGCAGCTCAAGGCGCTGATGGAAGACAACTTCCCTGGAATGATAGTCGAGGCGTTGGATCGCGAAAATGAAGACCAGCAGAAGACGCGCAAGGAAATTCTGGACTCTTGGATGTGAAATCCAATCATTTAGCTTAGCATTACCCTTAGGATACGAGCTAACATACCTAGTAGAACAAATTTTGAAAAGAAAAAAAGTGGCCTCATTCAAGTTTTTTTTTTATTTCGGAAAAGAAATTTACCAAACAAAAAAAGCTCAAATAAAGAAATTGATAGGGAATATCTCAACATAATTTTATAACCTGCACTTTGTATTTTACTGCTACAGTCAATTCCACAGGGTTGGAAGACGTAGCAGTTGCCGCCACTAAATTGAGTATTGAATTGCAAATTATTGTGGCCGACTTGGTCATTTTTTTTTTATTATGCGGCCCACGCGTCCAGGATTTCCTTGCGCTTCTCCTTAAGCTCTGGGCTACTACGGTCCAGCGCTTCGATCGCAATACCGGGGAAGTTCGTCTCCAGCAACGCCTTAAGTTGCGGTAACTCCTCCTTGGGCGGCGCGTACGTGCCGCTGTTGTTGTCGATGAACAACTTGAACTCGCCCGAAGGTTCCTGCTCAATGTGGAACTCCCCCGCGTACTTAACATTGAACTGCGCACCGGAGTGCAACATGTGCTTGGACAAAATGTCCTTAAAGAATGCCGCACCGGTCTCCGAAAAGTACCAGCCCGTCTCGATAATTGCGTATGTGAAGAGCACGGGCTTGTCGAGCCGCTTGCCGTCGTGCAACAGGTTAAAGAAGTCGGCCGGGCCGTTAAACTCACCGTAGACCGTGTCCGCGTCGTGTTTGTAGACCATAGCGTGCTCCGTTGCAATGGCCTTACGTAGCATAGGCGCCTCCGGGTGGTCAGGCGAGAAGATCTTCACAACGGACTGATGGTTGTGGTTCCATTCGTTGTCCTGGGCCAGGAAGGCCGGGATGTCGTGCAACTGGACATGGTAGGCAAAAGACTCGCGCTTGTCCTCGTCCGTCGTGGTGTCTGTGATGAGGCCGTTGATGTAGCTCGAGTGCACCGAGTAGTGGACCGGGCCAACCTGTTGCAACTGGCCGTTGCCGATGGCCGGCATCGGATGTGACTTGACCTTGACCACAATGGAGCCGGCCGCCTTGTCGTTGCGTTTAATAGGCAGATCGAAGGTCGTCTCAGCGCCGTCAGTGTTGGCCGCTGTGAACTGCGTCTGGCCGAGGGCGTCGTCGGCCTCGAAGTCCTTATCCAACAGGTAAAGCTTGCAGATTGTGTCGGGCTTGACGTTTTTGAAGAAGAACTTCTCGTTCCACACAGGATCGAGGGTGGAGAAGACGGGCCGCGTCCAGGCTACCTTCTGGCCGGCCACCTCGATCAAAGCATAGGCGTCACTAGAGGCCACGTGGCCCTTGGCCGCAGCCTTGACGGTGAAATAGTCGCCGGCCGCGATGTCTTTGGCCGACACGATCTCGAGCTCCACGTCGAGCATCGAGTTCTCGGGCACGGGCTCAGAGACCGCGGCCGGCGTAGAGGAAGCGGCAGAGGTGGTGGAAGAAGCTTGGCCCATTGATGCAATTGGTGACGTTCGACTGAATTGGTAAATTGGAGAATGATTTGGATCCAGTTGAACCCTGGCATGATTTTTTTGATATGCAACAAAAAGTATCCATTTTTTTTGACATCCCGGCTCAGGCTATAATAGTACTGATGGAGTTTTGATGACGGGTGATTACTATTTTTCCAGTGTACTATTTTGAGCAATGATCTCTTTTACTATTATAAATAACATGGAGTAATATTATTGCATACCGACTTGCTCAACAAAGATTTTGTCTCCTTCCGATGCGTACGGATATACAGTACCTGCTCCGCTACTATACTCACTAGTGGAGAGTTGTAGCTGCTAAAACAGCGCCGACTTTGGAACAATGGATATCTAGAAAACGATAAATGGCATTTTTTCGTTAGCGTGACTATCCTTTAGCAGGCTTAAATAATTGCATGATTTGCAAGGGAAATGGAGTGGATTAAGGGGCAAAACTTGATCAGACGAGTTTATTCGCCCACCCAACACCTCTATTACCTCATGGCGCTCTCTGTGAATAACACAGAGACGGAATTCCCGATACGTTGCAATCGTAGTTTCCACTATAATACATAGGTCATGACATTTGTCCACTCGTTTGCATGGGCTGGAAACAGAAACAGTGCTGCGTTGGATTACATGCGCTTGTGATGGAGTTTACTAGTACTAGTATTTAATGCTACATTAGTACCTGCTAGTATGTTGTAGTTTTACTCAGCGTTGTTTACTACCGATGGGACCAGGAGAGTTCCAGTCATTCTACCGCTTGCTAAATTCGCACCACCTCTCTAGATTAAGGCTGTTGCCCAATGCAGACCGTCATTGCCCTCGCGTTCGCTGCTACCATCACCACATTCAACACTGTCCGCCCGGAAGACCAGTCGACCAGTGAGGACGCCATGGAAACAGCACCGACGATCGCGTCCCTGTCCGAGGGGAACGACCTATTTTCCCTCATCGACCTCGGCGACGTCGACATTGACGACTTGTTGAGCATGGACCCGAACGCTGGCTGTGATAAGTCTTGCGCGCTCGCCAACCAGCCTCTATGTGGTTGCGACGGCATCACATATGAGAGTAAATGCAAATTTTCTGTTGCTCAGTGTGAAGCGATAAAAAAAAAATCGTTCGTGCTGTATATTGAGCACTGGGGTAGGTGCACCACTGCTGAAACTGTTGCTGCTGTAAGAATCAACTGCTATAATGATACCGTCTGCTCGTCCGAGTACAAACCCATTTGCGGTACCAACAATGTTACGTACGAGAACGAATGCGAGTTCGAAGCTGCTCAGTGCAACGTGACCGAATACGGCGAACTACTGTATATGCAGAACGACGGCGAGTACTTTCTATCCGGCTCGTCCTCGTCTACCAAAGACTCGGCTGCTGGGAGCGGTACCAACACTGGTGAATAGCAGACTGTCGACTTCAGTGTTCTCGACAAGCTTACTTTTGTGAAGCAAACCAAGGAGAACGCTGCTTCCGCCTCCAAGATTACAAAGGCGACCAAGTTTGAAAAGGATGGCGACACGCTCAACAGCGGCGTTAGTTTGAGGACGACTCGAGCGGTGCCGCCGGCTGTGCTTTCTCTAGCTATGACCACGAACACCTCGAAGAATACGAAGCCTGCTCAAAGGGGTGTTAGCTCTATAGTTCTTTGATAACCCTGTTCCAAAATAACAACAACAAAAAACTAGTACGAAAATCCTGCTTTACGCAGTTTTGTGTTGATAAGTTATCAACACAAAACTGCAATGATAACAGTGCAAATATGACAGTTCATCTTGTAGCGAGTTGTGGTGTGTACATTTTAGTGGTTCAATGTTAAAGCAAACTCAACCGTTTGTTATTACTGCAATCTTAAACAACATTCCAACAGATTATTGCCTTACCTCACGTCAAACCTGCTAGTGTCCGCATCTGCCCTCATTACTCCATGCTGGCTAATTGGGCCGCCAGGTGGACGTTGCTGAATGTGGTAACGCTCACAGCGAACGCGAGAAGGATGACGAGCTTCATTGGGCTGATCAGAGGTGACGAGTTGGTGCGCGTTTAGGAAATGGCAGAATGACTGGCAAACTGCCGAGCCTCTACCGGAACAGTACAGCGCAAAGTAGAGCTAGAAAATATTAATACAAGTACTAATACATAAACCACACCACAGACGTGTGAGCCGAGTACAGTAGTGTTTCGGTTTCTAGCTCATGCAAGTGAGTAGCCTAAAGCCCATATTCTAGTCGTGAACTATCGGTGAACGCTCCATACCGTTCAGCGACGATGAAACCATGCACTTGGTACAGTTTTGCTAATTACTAATTGCTCACAGTGGCTCCCTCTCTAGAAGACTAATCATTCGGACAAGCTTCGTCAAGGGAAGAAAGACTAATATTGAAATATGTAAAGCTCGCGGACGGAACAATTCCTCTGGAATATATATGTTGGGATCAGGGTTTGATCCTTTGTCGGAATTATTTGTACATGTACTGCATCGGTGGATGTGTTACCATTGCAAGCTTGCATTCAATCATGTTGGTGAGATCACTAGAAGCTCCTTTGACGAGAGATATCCGCTGTTAACTACGACAGTGGTAATGGTACTACTGCATCGGCCGAACGACAGTGACGATGGTGAGCGTCTAGCTTTCTACACGACGCTTTTGCGTAAGGTGTGTGTAATAATAGACATCAGTCTCTAACGGGAGTAGTTAGCCCTCTAAGCCGCAACAAATCAAATCAAACGTTTAACAAACTCTGGTGCCCGTACTGTTAAAGCACATTGAGGGCATTGGTCGTTTGGAGCAGCGCAGATAAAACCTGAATAAATGACGGAACATAATAATATGAGAATATTGTAAAGTAGTAAACTAATCAGCGAGTAAACCATATTCCATGAAATATTAAATCTTCAATATTATAGTAATTACATGCTACTACTCAAATATTTCCTATAGATTGCTCTCTATCTCGCTCGTCTCAATAGCCAGCCGTAATCTGGATATTTTCTGTCGCACATGAATCAGAGTCATGGGTACGTGGCATTTGCGATCTTCCGACGGTCCTTCCCGGCCTGACACTTCCAGTCCTCACTTTCCAATTCGCCTCCTTCCCTCCAACTATGGGCAACTCCTCCTCTTCCTCTTCCCACGGCTCCGCTCCCGTTCCTGAGAACTCGGTACTCGACGTGGAGCTCGAGATCGTCTCGGCCAAAGACATCGCGGCCGGCGACTACTTCGACATGAAGGCCGCTTTCAAGGGCAAAGTCTCGTCCAGTGACGCCTACGCTTTGATCGAAGTGGCCGGCCAGAAGGTGGCCTGGACGCGGCCGATCTTCGACACGCTCGAGCCTGTGTGGAACGAGAAGTTCTTCTTCAAGAACGTCAAACCCGACACAATCTGCAAGCTCTACCTCTTGGACGAGGACTTTAACGGGGACGACGCCCTCGGTCAGACGCAGTTCACGGCGGCCAACACTGACGGCGCTGAAACAACCTTCGATCTGCCTATTAAACGCAACGACAAGGCGGCCGGCACTATTGTAGTCAAGGTCAAGTCGCGGGCCACGAAGGCCCACGGCGATGGCCAGCTGCACCAGTACGGGCCGGTGCACTACTCGACCCACTTGAGTATCAGCTCCGGCATCTTGACACAGTCCATGACGGACGACGATAAGCTGGAGTCTTCGGCCTTCCACGTGCATCTGCACAACATCCCGCAGATTCTGCGGAATGATCACGAGTGGAACAAAAACTACCCGACGATCCAAAAGATCTTCTCGCCCGACCATCCGGAGTCTCCTATGCTCCGCAAGGCCATCGCCACGGAGCACGAGGTAGTTTACAGACACGCGAGTACTACAGAGTACGGCCTTCTTAAGGAGCCGTCAGACTTCTTTAAACTGGTAAACTACGGCCAAAGACTGGAGAAGCCGGTGCTCTTCACGTACGCTATCACGCCCACTGGCTGGTACTTCTCCGAGACTGGAGCAGCCTTCTTCAAGGACATGTTGTCCAAGCACATGCTGCACTCTGGCGCTGCGTTCTCGGTTAAGTATGCAGGTGAATTTCGCATCGAGAAGGGCCACTTTGGCAAGTACAAGCTCGTGATCGACAACAACAGCGGCACGTACGCCCCACCCAAGGCGGATCTGCCTAAACTCAAAGAGATCTTTGAAGTCAACTTCCCAGGCATCTCGGTCGAGGCCAAAGATCGCGATGACGAGGAGCTCAAGAAGGCCCGCCAGGAGATCCTTGATGCCTGGGCGTAAAGAGTCTCGACCTCAGCTTGACTGCCGATTGCAGGCGTCAAATTCTCTTAAAGATCGGGCCAGTGTACATACTCCTTGTCAAACACTCTCTGTGTAGTGCTTCATAACACTTTCAGCGTAGTGCTGTAACCTAAAAAAAAAAAATAAAAACAAGTACTGTATTTTCAGTTTTTGTGCTATGTGAGCCATTTTTGGATCTAGTAGCACTAGTACTATTTTAATCTCGATAAATTTGCGACCTTAAAAAATGTTACTTGTTTTTTTTTTTTTACTGTTGAGAAGAGGTGCCAAGTGTTTGGCATCGTCAATTATGGCGGCGGTGGGGATGCATGAGCGCCTGCAGAGGTCGGTGAATCGCTTCATTCGCAAGTGGGAGTCCGTCCAAGTCGAGCTCCATGGCCATTACTCCATTGAGCGGTTTTCTGCAATGAACGAGTATTGTCGGTCTACAAGTTTAACACGTGCTGTGTTCGTGCTTCTCATCACGCCATTACCAAGTCTGATCGTAGTTGCTTTGATTGACGCGATGCCGCTTGAGCCACCTGAACGAGGACTGGAGCACAGTACTATGGTGTGGGTTCGTGGAGTAATAACATGTTTCATCTACACACACAGTGCTATTGAGCAAATGCGTCTATACAGTCCCAATCTGAGACTGGAGCCACTATCCGGACTCGGTATCTCGCTGCCTACAGTAATTCTCACGAGTGTGCTTACGTTGGGTTTGTCATTTATTTGTTGGCCACTTCCATTCACAACTATATTAATGTCGGGTCCGTGGCTTGGATTTTTGAGTTTCTTTCTGCTTCGAGTCCGTGGAGCTCACATGCGCGCGAATCCAGAGGCGTTGCGAGACGTATTACGCTTTGTTAGAATCTGTGGAGTTCAAGTGTCGATTGTACTGGTGTACGCAATTTTTGTCACGATTTTCACCAATTTGTCGTCGACTTACCAGCCCGCCTTCGCCTTGTTGATTCCAATATTTAAAGTTATACAGAAGAACGCACTAAGCCGAATTCTTGGCCACGACGATACAAAGCCCCAAGTTGTCATTCTCAACGTTGAAATCTTTAATGCGCTCTTCATATCGACGTGTATGAGGGACTCGCAGTCCATTGGCACCAGCATCACTCTGATGTCTATAGATCTTCTGCAAGCCGCTATTTCGCTGGTCGACTTACACCGCATGATGAATGATGTTCAGAATATCTTGGTCAAGCATGGAATCCCAAGCAACGCTTTAATCTCGACAGCTGAGCTCGTGCTGGCTAATTATCCTACCACAGCAAATTGCCAATCGACAACAATCGACGCAACTCCACAACAACTTGCTAGAGTTTTTCTGAAGAAGAAGCAAGTGCTGCCTACGATGAGCATGCAAGTGGGAGGATACGAACTTCCCATTCCAATCCCTAAGTCACAGTCTCTGAGATATGCATCGCGAGTATCTTCCAACTTTACGGATAAAAAATCTTCTAGAACTAGCTCGACAACTGGAGGCAAGAGATTATCGAGCCAAGAGCATTATCGACTACTCAAGAAGGCGCTGCAAATACTTTTCCTAACTGAGTTCATGCTACTTATCGAGTTTACAGAAGTGTTGGTTCCAGTCATATATGGTGAGTCTCGATATTCTAAGCAAGGAAATTTATGTGCTAATGTTTTTTTAACATACAGGTGGGTATTTGACCATCCTGTATCATTTACCAAATCGAAGATTTTATCCCCAGCTAGCGAATTTATCGGATCAAGAGCTTTGGGATATGGTTATCAGCGTGTTGGAATACGGGGTTCTAGAACTAGCATCGCTGACACTTCTCGTTCTGGTACTTAACCGTCTCGTTCACCGCCATTCGCTAAAACAACTGGCCTTTGTGTTGGAGCGAGAGTTCCTCATGGTGCAGCCGAAACTCCTTCTTTGGGTCACCATGACGATGCAGTCCACACTTCCACATCTCGGTAAGACACAACCGTGTTCTTCTTAAGAAAATACTCTATAAACTTCATTTTTTTTATACAACAGGAGTCGACTACAGCTTCAAATTTGCTTGGCTGAACCACACCAACAGCAACAACAATACCAACACACAATGATCGAAGAAATACGTGGATTAGAAGAAAAGGACTAAACATAATCAATTCTTTTAGTACGGCTTGACACAGCCCGCCTCGTTCGACGTACAAATCTTGCAGATTTGTGAGCGGAACGACCGTTTGCACCCGAACTCTGCATTAGCGCAAACTTCACTGTTCTCATAGCATGGTGGATTAATGGAAGTAAGCGAAGCCACCGAAGGCAACGGCTTCATCACCCCACCGTCACTTGTTGCTGGGTTCCTCTGGACAAGGTCACTGTACGCAGTTACAACCTTCTCTGCGCGTTCAGCATTGGCAGTACTATCGCCTGGGTTAGCCCAGAAATCAAGGCCTTCGTTCCATGTGACCCCATAACTAGACACCGTGACGCTGAACTCTACACCGCCAGCCTCACAGAACTCGGCGTAGTTAGCGTAGTAATTGCTCGTTTGAGGGTTAACCATCGACGTGATGCCTACGACATCGTCCAGCGCGATGTAACCCAGCACCTCGTACGAGAACGTACAAGTCTCACCGTCGGGTTCCACCCCAAGAGGACACATTCCACCCGATTTTTGGGCACGACAAGTGTCCGATTTGCTGCTCCAACGAGTTTGCGGACAGCTATTGGGGAAGGAGAACCAGTAATTGTTCGGATACGGAGCGATCACGGCGTTATCCTGCAGCGATCCACCCACACAGAAGCCTAACTTGGGTTGGCCATTCTCTCCGGTGTACTGGTTACAGACATCCGGGAACGAACCATCAGCATTCGGGTTACATTGACCACCGTCCATGGGCATGAATGGACAGCGTTCGACAGCGTAATTGTGCTCATCCGCGGCATTGGCATAGTGTTGCATTGCAGCAGCGGGTTGAACGACTGTCGTCTGGTAGAAAACGATGTACTGGATGTTATTTTTGCGTTTGCAGCTGGTCACGACAGAGGCGTTGATACATTCAGCCTGCACGTACTTGAGAGCACCTTCGACCGCAGCCATGTTGACAGTGTCGAGAACGGCGCGGTACTTCTCGTCGAATGTGGAGTAGTACTTCGACACAAAGCGCTGCTTATCGGAGTTCCATTGGGGCATGTCACCCTGGACACGGGCGTGCAGCGATGTCACCTTTTTGAATTGTTTCGGGGGTGCAGGGGTTGGAGCAGGAGTTGGTGCTGGGGTTGGAGCCGGGGTCGGTGGTGCCGTTGTTGGGAGGAGAATACCGGTCACGGTGGAGACGACAGGGGTGAGCAGGCCGAGGAGGAGTTGGCGGTGATTCGAGGAGGTCACATCAACATCAGCGTTGTTGGAAGCAGATGAGACTTCAGTCGCGACTTGGTTGTTTTGGGACGACTTGGTGTCAGAAGCAGTGACAGGTAGATGCGTTCCGGCGAGTGCCAGTGCTGTCATTGCCAAGCTTAATACCGACAAAATCTTCATGGATCAGTTTTGGTGAATACGTTGAAGCGTGGTGCTTGGACTGGGTACTTGGTCAAGTCGATGCAAAAGTGGAAGTGAGTACTTCGCTGGAAGATTTCGTCCGAGCCGTTAGACACGAAGCAACATGGTCGGCGATCTCTGGCGCACAAAACTGAAGCCTGAAGCACCAAAGCGTTCAAGGGGTCATGTCGTCGACCGGATTCGTTTCAGACACAGGATATATTACTGCTTCCAAGCGAGCGTTTGCAATGCTTTTCAGTTATATCAACTTTAGGGCGAGTTTCGATCTGGCCTCCACCGATATCACCGCCTGTCCGCTCCACATTGACACCCCCCCCCCCCCCCCCTGCTAGGTAGATGACTTCTTCCATGAGTTTGCAGCTAATGCTAACTTACTGCCATTCCATCACACGAAGTGATCCTCATGGATGATATTTTGTATTCACCAAAAATGCAAAAATACATGACTATTATACAGGAACGTAATCTGAAGTTTTGTAAGGTGATTCTCGGTATGCCACTTCTAGCAGGCGCTGCTGTTACGCGTGCACTCGATCGTGTTCACTTCTGTTTATTCGCAACGAATCGAAGCGAAACCCAAGGTGGATTTTCGTCATAGCCTAGAAAGATAAAGCTACACCGTGAACGCTTACATAGCCACTCGGTGGCAGCGCAAAATACTCCGAGCTAGATGTTTTTATCTAATAGTTTTCTTTTACGCGAAGAGTCACGCTACAAGGATCCCTCTGAAATTTACCATCGTATTTGCGAAGTGATGTCAATGGCTGTGCGGGTTCATGGTTGAAGCCGATTTCGCGTAAAAGTCCACTTCTAGGTGTATTTACATAATGCCACTTCAGTACTTTTTCTTTGCGATACTGATAAAAATAAAAGCATGCAAACAATGTCTTATTAGTTACTACAGCTGATCTTTTAGTGGACTTTTCGACGATGGTAGCACTTTTGAGCCTTCTGTGGCGCAACTCAATGCAACAGGCGATCTCTCCATTGAAACTTTTCTGTTTAGTTTTCGACGTTCACAGTTAATAACTCTTCATACGGCAGGTAGCACTCACATTAACACAACATCTCTACTCTACCATCGCCGAGGTCGATGACCTATTCATTAAGTAGCACACGGACACTATACCAGTGAACTAATTCACGAACTCATAAAAAGACGTAAAAGATATGTGATATCACCCAGCTCGATTATCGTTGCCGGGGCCCACCAAGTGAGACTTCTGGCTTAGCCTCGTCACCCAAACAAGAGATGCGTCGATTGATTTTCTCAGCAATTATCCCCACGCTGTCATTTCGCACATCTTGGACATACATAATTAGCAATAAAAAAAGCATTTCTGGTGGGTATGGATGTCTGCTGTATTTAAAATCACTAGAATAAAAACGACCTGGGAATTATTAATTTTTACTTGATCCTAGATCATTTTTAATTTTTGTTTTTAAGGGATTTGAATGTAAAACGCCTTTGTTAGTATTAAATCGCTCAAAAACAAAAAAAGGAAAAATGTTCAACCAGGAATATTTAAAGAAATAAATGACTAGGTAAACTCTAGACCAAAATCCAGTAAACTTAGTCGCTCTGATACGATTTCACGCAGCCCGAATCGTTGGACATACAAACCTCACAAATCTGTGAGCGATACGACCGCTTGCACCCGAACTCTGCGTTAGCACAGACTTTGCTGTTCCCGTAGCATGGTGGGTTGATGGCCGCAAGGGAAGTCGCCGTCGGTAACCGCCTCATCAGTCCACCGTCAGTCGTCACAGGGTTTTTCTCGACGAGCTCATTGTACATAGTCACTAGCTCTTCGGCGCGTCCAGCATTAGCGGCACTATCGCCTGGGTTGGCCCAGAAGTCAAGCCCTTCTAACCACGTGACCTCACCTTCTGCGATCAAGACGCTGAATTCTACACCTCCAGCTTCACAGAACTCGGTGTAGTTGGCGTAGTTGTTGTTCGTTTGAGGGTTAACCATCGACGTGATGCCTACAACATCGTCCAGCGGGATGTATCCCAGTACCTCGTACGCAAAGGTACAAGTCTCACCATCGGGTTCCACACCTAGAGGGCACAAGCCACCCGCGTATTCCTCGCGACAAGCATCCGTCTTGTCGTCCCAGAGCTCCTGAGGGCAGCTGTTGGGAAAGGAGAACCAGTAGTTATGAGGATACGGCGCAATAACTTCGTTATCTTGCAGTGACCCGCCCACGCAGAAGCCTAACTTGGGTTGACCATCGGTTCCAGCATACTGGTTGCAAACATCCGGGATTGTGCCGTCAGGATTCGGTTCACATTGACCGCCTTGCATGGGCACGTACGGACAATATTCGATAGCGAAGTCGTATTCATTCGTGGCGTTGGTGTAATATTCCATTGCCGCAGCGGGCTGTACGATTGTCGTCTGGTAGAAAACAACGTACTGGATGTTGTTCTTGCGCTCGCATTCAGTCACTACAGACGCGTTGATACATTCGGCCTGTACGTACTTGAGAGCACCTTCGACGGCTGCCATGTTGACGGTGTCGAGTACGGCGCGGTATTGCTCGTCAAAAGTAGTATAGTATTCTGACACGAATCGTTGATTGTCAGCGTTCCACTGGGGCATATCACCCTGGACACGGGCCTGTAGCGATGTCACCGTTTGGAACGATTTCGAAGTCGGTCCAGTAGGTGTTGTTTCGGTGGTACCGTGGGTGCCAGGGGAGTCAGTAGCGACTTTGCAGCTAGAGGCCGTGACAGTTCGGTCTACTATCGCGAGCATCGTTGTACCCATGATGAAGCTCATAGTCGAGAAAGTCTTCATGATTCGTTTCGGTGCGTACGTTGCAGCGTAGTGTTGTGTTGGATAGGTGATGCAAAAGTGGAAGTGAACACTTTGCTGGAAGATTCGTTCCGGATTGAATGACAAGAAGCAGCGAGGGATAACTAAATCTGGAAATTGTAGCAGACAAAACTGAAATGGGAAGCAACAAAATGTTAATGGGGCTGTCAGACTGTCGTTTCAGATTTGACAGACTACTGCAATGTTCCTTGCTGTATGAGCCTGTCCGTTTTGTATTCTCCGCCATTGACACTTCGCAAGTGGGGTCGTCACCAGCCACAATTAGGCACGCTCTTTGCTTTCAAATTGGTCGATGGTCGGACCCGAGTAATCGTACGAGTAAAAGGCGTATGCACTAGAGCACAAAGTAATCTTTAATATTAGTTTTTCTACTGTAGGAGTTTTGATGTGGATGGTATGAACAACATCCACCATATTATTCACGTGTAATGACAGCTATACTTTTATTTAGTCACTTGGGCATCGGGAGCTGGTCTTTGTGAAACCTGTGTCTTAACCGGTCCCGTACAGGTCCCAACACGACAAAGTATTCGAACAGGATAGCAGCTATCACGTTGCCTACCAGCAAAACAAAGTACTGCACTCTGAAAGCCAGTGGCATCGGAATATCCGGCAATACTATCACGTTAGTACCACTGGCAATACGAAAGATATCTGTCAACTTTCCTGGAGGTCCAAGTAGAAGATAAATATCCAGAGCTGTGAGAATCCCAAATATCAGCACGAGCGGATAATTTTGCCAGATCGAAGCTCGAAAACGAGATCCAAAGCTGAAAACCCAAGCTGCGACTTGTTGTTGAGTGATGATCGTAAAAAAAAGAGTCGTTGCTAAATGATTGTCCGAAAGTAGCCACCACTTGGCCAGGTCGATATTATCCGGACTGAAAGGACAATACCAACGCTGAGAGGTGAGCATGTACATCCCCGATACTAAGAAAATGACGTTGATCATTTCTTGGCCTAATATTGAGAGCAGAGTCGATGGTCCGATGAGACTTGACGTCGGGCGTTGGTCTTTTAGATCTGGTAGCGGCTGGGAGAGTGTGATCACGTAGGATAATCCGACGAGTGTAAATCCATCGGCTAAAATAAAGCACCACTCGGATAAAATAGTAGCATTGTACCACTGGAATAACCTCAGGGTAGATGCAATGACTCCATACATGATCAAGAACTTGACCGAAGCGAACGATGTGGCCAAGCTGCAGCGTCCTTCACGGCAAATATCCACGACTGAGTGGATTGTTTTAGGCTTACTCGTAAAAGGGGATACAACCGAGGCATCAGTGTCACTGAGAGCTATACCGACATGAGCGATACGTAGCGCGCCACAGTCATTCCCTCCGTCTCCACACATTCCCGTCACAGCACCAGCTTCCATGTGCATTTTAACGCACTCCACTTTATCATCTGGTGTCATGCGACTAAAAATCCGTACGTGAAAAAGAATCTGTGTCATTTCACTTGAGTCTTTAAGTCGATTGAAAACAGCCCCAGTTACTGCAAGCTCGACGTCTTCCCCGTTCGTAGTCATGTTCTTAACAGTCTGGTAATCGATAACAGCCCCACTATCCACATCCCGCCATTCAACTTGACCGAGTTTAGTATTCACTCCACTACCAGTTCGTTCAATATCCGCAAGGATGACTCTCGAATCCGGTACGACCATGCCGCTATTTCGTGCAATATAGCAGCCACACATGGCGTTATCCCCTGTGATCATTACGACTCGAATATCGCCACTTTTCAGCTGTTTAATCGCGTCTTTTGTGTCTTCTTTCAGCTCATTCCGGAACAAAATTAACCCCAGAAGAGACAAATTTTCGTCCACTTTGTCACGATCCGATAGAAATTCATCAATTTTCTGGTTCGACCAGTTACTTGGTAGCTCTCGATACGATAATCCCAACACGTAACATCCGTTCCTAGCGAGTCCATCAGCCACTTCCTTGTATTCACTCGGAACACTATCGGGTTTACTTAACTGCTGCATTCGCTCGTAGGATCCTTTGCAGAACACTAACAGTCTACCGGTTATACGGTGACGTACTACGACACTCATGGACATGCGATGGTGATCGAAATCGAAGCGTTTAATGAACTCAAACTCGTCTCCAGTGGGGGATTTTACTACCGGTTGAGCCCCTTCTCGTTCCAGTAATTTCCATCCTGTGGCCTCAAACATTCGCACTTCAACCTCATTGCCTACGAGTTTCCCATCCAGTGAACCAACGGAATGACAGGTTGCTAGAGCACATTTTGTCACTTCCATCAGGTTGTTTGTGTCTTTAGAAATGGGTAGAAACGAATTAGAAATCATATCCACAGATTGAAAACCTAGATAATCGAGACCCTGTTTTGTCAATGTTCCAGTTTTGTCGAAGCAGAATACGCGAACTTTACCACAAAGAGATATCCGCTTAACGTTGAGAGAGAAGATCCCTTTCTTTTGTAACCTCGTAGCAGCGTTCACTTGGCCCACCGTAATAACCACTGGAAGTAAGGGACTTACGACTGCTGAGATCATGAAGATACAGTAACAGAACGCCGTCGTTTTGTTATTAAGCTTCCCATTGCTCAATAAAAAGCTGATCCCAATTACACAAGCTATTGAGGAATAAATGAGCAGTAAAACAATCAGAGCTTTCAAGTGCTCGTCGTACTTGAAGCGCATCGGCACGGGGAACAGGATGGACTGGATTAATTGTCCTTTGGTAGTATGAGCACCAGTCGTTAGTACAGCCGCGTGGATCTCCTCATTCCGACCGGAAGATAGTACTAGTGTGCCCGAGAAGAGTGTATGTTTCTTCCCACGACCTTCGGAATCGTATATTGTGTTACTGTGATCCGGTATTGGAGACTTTTGCACTGGCATCGATTCTCCAGTAAGCATGGATTCATCACACACGGTAGACCCCTTAACAATAACCAGATCGCACGGTAAAATCCAATTTTCAGGAACATTAATCAGATCACCTGGGACTAATTGTGAAGATTCGAGTTTTAGCCAGTGGTTATCACGGAACAACTGAAACTTCAGTTCTGCATCTCGTCATTTTTACAATAGCAGCTTGCATTTTACGCTTCGTGTAGATATTGATGACTGCAGTGCCCAGTACTACGAGTGTCATGACGATCCCCATGTTCCAATATGTGAAATAATACCAGACGTAGTAGCACATAATCTGGTAAATGTAGAAGAGCGTGAGGAACTCGTGTAGTACCGAAGTGAATAATGACGGCATATCGACGTCCACAGTGTTTAAACCAATGGTTTGTAAGCGTTTTCGAGCTTCAATTGTGGTTAGACCCGAGATCCCAGCTCCAATATCGCCATAAGTATGGCCAATAGAGATTTCGGTTGGGGCAAACTGCCGCAGTTCTTCGTTGTAAATGTAGCGCAGGTGTTGGAAATCCACAACGCGCTTGCCCCCGATAACTTCGACACGCACCGTTTCTTGAAAACCCCGAGGTTTTCCAGAAATATTTAACCAATTTTCAACTTTCGCGACGAGAAAAGACACACCCGTAGGATCCGTGAGCATAATTTCAGTGTCATCATTCTTAACCATGTGAGCAAATTCACAATTATTTAGTGAACTTGGCGTACGGAAGAAGTTGACCAGGTCTTGCTGGTAAACTACGATCGTAATTAACCACACTGCTGCAATCAACCACACAAGGAAAAAGACAGTAGCGCTGGCACTCAGAGGGTCGAATAAATGAGGCGTAAAACAGTCGTAGTAGTCGCAGATGACAATAATCAGCAAGATATGAAGCAACACAGTTGCCATCACGAAATAAACGAAGACAATTCGTCCAAGACTTGAAAAAGAGTATCCAGTCTGTACGAGTTGAGACTCCGAATTATCCGCCGAAATGAGCTCATATTTCGTTCGCGAGAGGATGTCAGACATACCAGATGAGCTCTTATCGTCCATGACGGTGCAATTTTTGCGGTAAATCATCTGGCGATGGAAGTTCCAAAACGTTAACAAGGCAAAGCAAACCAGGTACACGAAATACACACCAACTAGAGGAGGTTCTCCAAAATTTGTGATCTGGAAATGTTCATCTTTTTGGTCACTTTTGCATGAATTTTTCTTCTCTTCATCAACCGAACCATCCGATAACATGAGACTTATACATTGCGCTCCAATTGGGAAAGATGCATTGTTGTTCCGAGGGTTTGACGGCGACGTCCAGAAAATGGAGGCATCTTGAGAGTCTTCGACAAGCGAGACATTCTCACTACTACATTGTAGCTTTTGTTGGAGTTCTCCAGTCTGAAAATCGATCACTACGCTCTGGATACGACAGACTGATTTCGCGTCAGCGTACGTGAAAACTGGTGAGTCTGGACTGTAGCGTACGTAAGGGAAATTCACTTGTCGTGGTTGGGCCCACCCAGTTTTGTAGTCGTCTTCGTAGCTGCCTCCTGTAGGTCGACGGAACTTCGTGTACACCTCACGAGTCGTAGATGAAGTTGAACAGCAGTAAAACTCGGGCTGGTGATGCTGAGGACAGGCTGGATAGCCCATCGGATTAGCTGCTGCATCGACGCCGACCAGTGTCACTACGAGGGTGAATATGAGTACTAGAAGCTCTCGCATTGGGCAGGTTTGAGGACTAGCCAAGAATGACAAGGTTCAGTCGGCTGGCTGAATAAGGCTGTACGGATCTCTGGACCTTTACAGACTCTAATAGGTACATTAAACCTATTTTAAGATGCTGTCTAAAATTACCGTTGATGTTAGACCATATCAATTATAGCAGTGTTCTTAAATATCTCATTTGCCTACTTTCAAGAATAACGAGCCATTTTTGTACTCGCTTTCAACGAGGTATGACTCGACAAGCGCCAACCATCTCGACGCAGGATGTTCAAGAGTACATTCATCGTCAGTCACGGGTACGAACATTCGCTTGATACTGCATAAATAACCGTATCAAACACAGATTTGCTCTGTCTAGCTTTGTGATTCCCGCATCGAAGACGCGTATATGAGACTTTCCGGTTGCTACGGCGACAGCAAACCGTCCGCTCCTGCATCGCGCACTCTGTCGTCATCGATGAGCTTGCCATATCGGAAACCTCTAGCAAGTGATACGGTCACACGACCATCCACAGCGCATGAATGTCGCTCAACTGATCGTAAAACAATTGAGAAACCTCGAGGAATTTTGAAGAAGTCTCAGTCTCCAGTGGGCTCAGTTCGTAAAAGGGAATCTCCCGACGAATGGTTCCAACGCATTATGTACATCAAGAATTTGTCACCTCTAGATTTGTGCGATCTTTTCTCGCGTGGAGACGCCAGAAAGAACCCGCTGGTATCGTTGAGCAACGTTTGTGCGGTTCTATTTGATCTCGATCCAGAGTCACTGAATGGCGCAGATCCCGTCACGGAAGAGATGGAGGTATTGTTTAGTTGGGCTAGATAATATTTCCAGTATCTGACGATTCAACTTCTAAATGTTAGGAATTTCTGTATCAATTCGCTGCAGAACATGACGGAGAGATGATGGTTAATATCCGTGAGGCTTTAAGAGCGCTGGATATCTGGCAGTCTCGAGTCACTACATCAGCTCAAAAGATTTCATCAAAATTGGCTTCTAATCCCCCAGCTATCCTCGAATCAAAGAACAAAAAGCTCAAAGATGTGATCGCAGATCTGCAAGATGCAAACCTTCGACTCAGTAGACAACTAAACCCTGCTAAACTAGCCGCCATTCGAAAATCTAACGACGGAATATCGCCTTCAACTTGGCCGCCACGAAGTCGAATATCCGTGACGTCAAGCGTTGAATTATCTCCAAAAAAATACAAGGCGCCAAACCCACGAAAGTCCTCATCCCAGAAAGGAAATTCATCAAGATCGGGCTTGCAGGTAGTAAATCTGCATGAACAGGAGCTTGTAGAGATCGCCAGCAAGCTGCAGTTGTAAGTACAACTATTATCCTGAAGATAATGTAATTCTTAACTAACTCGTTGAATCTGTAGCACTGGTGTGCTGAGACTTGAGCAATTGTTGGTAGATGGGGACGCCGACTCAACTGGATTTGTGTCTTTGAAGCAGCTTTGCTTGCTTTTAGCTGAAGATTTTGAGTTGAAAGTCAGCGAATCGAGGCTCGTCGAGGTCTGTCTGGGGATGAACTTCAACTCCGACGGTCAGCTAGACTACAAGGAGTTTGTCGACGTGTTGATGGATATTCTCATCTATGCGCTACCGGACATTCGCGAGTCTGCGAAGAAAAAATCTATTCAGTGTCTGGATCAGTATCTGCAGAGCGGATTCCCATCTGGACGGGAAGATGTTCGCCAACTTCTAGATGCGCTTTGCTCTAAATATGATTTAGAAGGTGGCCAGATTATCCCGATTAAGGATTTGGTTCGTGTATTTCACGAGGATTTGGTCAAGTACCACGAAGACGAGTTACCTTTTACGCTTGAAGAGCACGAGACTATTCAGCTTGCTCGCCCTTTTATTCAGCACAAGTCGCACGACTCAACATCGGAGGGTTTTGTCGCTTATCCTGAGCTACTTGACGCGATATTGGGACCATTTCCTACCGGTGAAGAGAAAGGTGCAAAGCAACTAAAACGAGCTTTATCGTGGGAATTCTGGCACAATATTTTGATGGCATTATGCGGTGGTGACGCACGTATGAAGCAGAAAATTGTGGCTCAACTTGTGAAAATCATGACAAAAGTGGATCCTGACAAAACATTCACGATCTCAACGAGACATTTCAAACGAATATTTGAACGACATCTTAGTCCAGAAGACATGGAAATTCTGGCAGAGATTTTAGCAACATCAGAAACTGTATCAGATTTGAGATACGATGTTCTGTTGAAACTGGTGTTTGGATCTCCTGAGCTACACGACAAAGCGTTTTTCAAGAGCATTCGCACGAAGATTCTACGTGAGGAACCCCTTGTCAAAGAGCTGACGACTCGAGGATCTTCACACAAACTTACCATTCAGGATTTCCATGAAACTTTCATCGTTCAGGCAGAGGAACCATTGACAACAATTGAAATGTTGTTTCTATTCGCATCCATAGATTCTGATCACGATGGATCAATCCACGCAAAAACACTCCAGAATTTCCTAACAAGGAGCGATTGGAGTGATACTAAACGCCACACGGATGACACCACGGCACCCCTTCAAGCTGCTGATACGGAGGACATTGAAATGGTCAAGAAACTTGTTGCGAAGTGCTGTTCTGGATACGATTTACAACGTTCACTTGACACTCTTGGTCGCAATTCTGAGGGGTGGATTTCTCAAGCTGCTATGTTGCTAGAACTGAGTAAAATGTTGCACAAGCTGGGTGTTGTTGGTGTACATCAGAGCGATCTAAAACACCTGGTTCAGAATATATCTCAACACACCATTGGAGATGGTCCAAGATCTGCACTTCGAGATGGAATACTCGTCCATTGTGACGCTTTCTTTGATGCATTACTGGACTGGAACTCACTGATTATCAAAATGAGGTTGTCAGATTCCTTAGTCGAGGTCAAGAAAGTGTTTGAGAAGTTTGACCGGGAGCACAACGGAACTATCCGAAGCGAGGACTGGAACAAAGCTTATCGTCTAATTTGTGACGACGACAAAGACATGAGCGAGTGGGAAGTCCGTGTGTTGCAACGGAGATTCCCTGGGCACACGAAGCGAGAAGAAACTATCGATTACGCTCGATTAATCGTGTTTTTACTCGACTTTCAGCAGCGGCATGCTAGAAAAACTCTACAAATTCGCGTTTTAAAACATTTCCAGCAGCGAGTTACTTCTACTATGTCGACAGCTAAAATGGAGAGACTGTTCCAAACACTTGATACCGACAAGAAAGGGTATTTTAACGCGGCAGATTTGAAGACATATCTTAGTGAGGAGTTCGCGAAAGAAAGCGAGGAGGTACTGGAGGAAGATAAGTGCTCCGTGCTGTTAAACAGTGCTGACGCGTTGGCGTCCGTGATCCATCTTCTGGCTGGTGAAAGGCTTGCTCAGTCTTACCAAAATCCAACGAGCTCTGATCCGCCTGCTGTTGTCACTTTCAAACGTTTTTGCCACATTGTGAGCTTACTCAGTAATGAGAAGAACAAACTTTTAAGTTCTGGAAATCGTATTGATCACAGAAGTTCACGAATTCATCCGTCGCACTCACACAACAGAAAATCGAGCGAATTAGCTGATACGGATAACGAAAAGCAGACCATTTCAAGTCTTCGAGTCCTTGAGATCACGATATCAGAGATTGCAAGCCAATTTGTGGATTCGAGAGGAAATCTTCAACCAGCACGCGCTTTTCATTATTTTTCGCTTGGATCAACGGTATCCGGACGAACACCCCCAGGCTCTCCGCTTCGACGTTCGTTGTTGAGTAATTCCACTGTCCGTAGCTCTGGATTATCACGAACAACCCCGAAGAAGCAACGAGTACCAGAAGCCTCCAATCTGGACCCTTTGACACCTTCCAGACTAAAACAAACACTACAAAGTCACCACAATATCGAGGTGTCCACACATCTGATCAGCCAAT